CTGCAGATGGAGGGACTGGGGGGAACCAGCATCCCCAGGTAAAGCCTCCCAGGCAGGTCTCTGAAATGACTGGTATAACTGACTGGTAAATCGACTGTTGGTTTTTTTTTAAAGTCTGGAGATCACTTTTTCATAGTTATTCCATAGCGGACTTGCAGACTTACTCCATAGTCAGCACTAGATGCTGGGGTAAGAATATAAAAAAAAAAAAAAAAAATTGCACTAGACATCCCTAATGGAGGAAAACAAAACATTACTAGTCACTAATGCTAAACATACCTCTTTAAATGAGGCATGTAGTTTTCTCCTATCCTTAAGTGGACTACTGTTAGTTTTACAAGAAATTTCTCTGGATCATGCCAGGATTTTTCTGCTTTGGGGCCTTTCACTGCAACATCTGGACCCAGGCAAGATCCTGGTTCTGTGAATGTTTTACTTTCACTTCTGTTTCTAATTCTTCCTCAACATTAAATCTGGTTTTGAAATGTTTTACTCCAAGGAATGTCTTCCAAGTATGCCGAGCTGTCAGGAGTTTACATCAGCAAGTATATACCACTCCAGCGAATTTACTCAGTGGAGGAGAATCACTGTCCTTTTACCACAGAAGACTTGGTGAGCATTTCTTTCTTCTTTCTAATTTTTTGAGTGCAGATAATTTATCTACTTTAATATTGCTATGGCAGAGACCAAGTCCTCTGTAGATCATACTCAAGCTGGTGGGTAGGGTGCCAGGGTACTGAGGCTGACCCAGTTGCAGGTATTTAACATAAATAAAATGCCTTCCTCACATAATTAGAGAGTGGAATGTTGGTGAAGTCATTAGAAACTATTGTTTAGGATTGTTTTTAATACATACTGTGACTCTTCTAATAAAGTTCAGACCTTTTCAAAAATAGTGGCACTTGTTTGTAAATGCCCCATTGGAGGAAAGCTTTATTTGGATTGTTAATTTTTATTTTGCACATTCCTTATTGTTTACATCTTTAGACCAAAGCCTTGTATAAACAATAACTAATGATTCATTTCTGGGAATTTTTTACCTCTTGTTTCTTTTTATAGCATGTCTTCAAAAATAACATTCTCTTCTGCAAAAAAAGGGCAACAAAAATTACCAGAAAGCCCTACCCAATTCATCTTATTATAATCAAACTTGTTTTGCCTGTCTTAACATTTTTATTTATTTAACTAGATTATTTCCATTGTTTATTTTAAAAGCTTTATTATAGCATAAAAATAAAAAGTTGCATAAATCTCAATAATCTTCAGGGCTTCCTTCATTTAAGAATTAAATTATTACAGTTAGAGTTACACCTTGCTTATGTTTGAACTGAATCCATCACAGCAATTACAACGAGAGCTTGCTCAAATTAAATTATCATTGTATTTCCCTGTCCTTCATCATTTGTCTGCGCTCTCCACAGCCTCAACACAACCTCTTTCTATCAATCAGCCCTCGATGATACCTTCTTTCAACATATTGACCACTTTTACTGTACAGACAATATTCATAATTTTGTATTTACAGGCAAAACATCAGGGGCAAATATTGAATCCTTAAAGTGTATCAGGTCAGATAATACCAAATGGCACAAGTAAGTCTATGAATAACTCCTTTGTAGTTAGATTATAATGTATTAAATCTTACACACCATTATGTGCCACCAGCTGTAAAATCTGTGGCTCACACAGGCACTTTGGAGTTTAAAATTGTCTACAATTTTGCAGGATATACTCCAAAGTAGGCTGTTATTTTTAAATTTATTTGTAAGATCTATACTGCACATCAAGTTGTTATTATTATTTTACGCCGTATAGTTGATGTTCATACCAATGTTGTGGGCCTTTTTTTCTTATTAGGATCTAATAATAATTTTCCTCAGCATATGAGGTGATAGAAGCAAATAATTCCATTTTAATTTAGGAGACTGTGGGGAGAAATTATGATGAAATAATAGCCAGGTTCCCGCTTTATGCTGCACACAAATCATAACTATTTCACACTCTGTCTTGTATCTGAAGGGATTCCCGTCTTTTAGCAGAGTTTTATTTGTAATTAAGCTGCAAATTATCACTGAACATTACTTTGCTCTTCATAAAACACATTTTCAGTATGACTACGGCGTAACCAGGGTGAAGAAGAAGGATGGCTGCGTGTTCCCCACCAAAAGCAATCCGACACACCAGATGCATCTGGGCCACTTTCCCCTTCCTTTCCACCAGCAAGGAGAGGACTCAGGGCTCAGTTGCTCCTTTGGGTTGAGATTGGGAGGGGATTTTTTTTTTTTTTTTTCATTTTTAAAGCACACTTGCTGACAGAGGGCAGGTTTCTGCCTTTACAAAGCTGGGGGTTTCTGGAGATCACGTTGTGCAGAGCTCCTCCATCGCCCCAGCCGTGCAGGGGGCATCGCCCCAGCCGTGCAGGGGGCATCGCCCCAGTGGCCTGGCAGCGAACATGCTCCGTAGGGCTCTTCCTGGGGCGCCTTCCCTCCCTCTCCCCTCCCTTCCTCACCCACATGCTGCTGCAAAAAGCACCCCAGGGCAAAAGGTTAGTCATGGCCAGGAAGAACAGTGCAGAGGGTAAGACACAGGCCTCCTGCCTTCCCAAAAGCAGGGCGAGGGGAAGGGGCATGGGGGCCCTTCCTGCTGCCTCAGCCCCACCAGACAAGGGCTGCCAAATCCACAGCCTGCCCTGTGCTTACTGCTCAGGGAAACAAACTGCTGAAATGAGGAGTCGGGCTGCTTGGGGCCGGTTTTGTCCAGGCGAGCCCAGCCGGCAACCTGCCCATGCAGGGCCCATGTACCCACAGTTACCCCTCGGCAGGGCTGTGGCCTATGGGGCATGCTGCCCCCAGAACCAGGACCTGACATCTCATGAGCCTTGCTCTCACACCCCTGCACAGCCCCACAAGGATTGTCAGAGCTTTCATCCCTGCCTGCACAGCTCTCTGCTGAGGCTCTGCAGCTTGGGTGCAAGGGCAGCGTCAGGCTGCGGCACTGTGCTCGTGCCGACGGAAAATTGTTCATACCAGCACCTATTTCTCTTGTAAAACTTTCTGTGTGTGGTGGTATTTCTGCACGTCTGTAGATGTTCTGCATCTGGCAAGCAGGAGTTTACTAGGTCCCTGTGTTATCTGAGATTTGGGGTGTTAGGAAATCTGCTGCAACAGTGAGAGTTGTGTTGGGAGAAATGAAATGTACGCACCTGCTCGCTGAAATGGTATTGTACTTAAACTGAACATTGCTAACACTGATGAAAATTAATTTCAGTTTTATGGGAGGCATTTGCATATGAACAGGCCTTAATGAGATACAAGCAGCTGTCATTTGCTGACTTCATAAACAAATCAACACCTAATGACTGAATGAGAGTTTGGGGATAATTGGGTAAATGTAATTATGGTAACTCAGAAGGCAGAAATTATAATTTTATCAGCTACAAATTTGCATTAGTTCGTTAGGTTTTCTAATATCAGGAGAAAAGACAATGATTTTATTTTAAATCACATATCTGAAAAATTTTATAACAGAGCATAATTTCACTCACAATACATCTGGGACTCTACATGATTTCCTTGTGCTTATGTAAAATGTCACACAACAACAGTGACTTTTATTTGACATCAACCTGACTCTGATATAATGTCATCAGAAAGCCAGATTGCCTTCCAGTGGCACAAAAAAAAAAAAAAAAAAGGGGGGGGGGGGGGGATACGAGGAACTATGGAGGTTAATTTTGCTCGTAACAAAATGCTTTTGTAACTCCTTGATACTGCGCTTCCTAATTGAATAGGTGTCTGAATGGTGACTGTCCAGAAAGCCAGCATTTTGTCACTGAGAATGCAGCTGACACTCAGCTCCTTATTCTCTTTCCTCAATTAACATGGCTTTTTAAAAATTGTTGATTACAATTTTTAACAGCATAATCCTCTTAAGCTGTTGTTACCTTGAGGTGCAGAGCAGCCTTGGAAAGCTTTCAGAAACAGTGAGCAGGACTGGCTTTTCAGCGGTGTTGCTTTTGCAATTGTGAATTCAGCCTAACATGCGTTTCCCCTCGCCTGGAGAGGCGTCTGAACCCATGAGAGCTTTTTGCTGCCTGCAGCCGTGTAACGGTGGCCCTGCTTTCCACTGGGCTCTCAGTGACCTCTGGCTGGGTGGAAGGCCAGAGCAGCCCCTCACCCTGCTGCAGCTCAGGGGCCAAGGGATTCCTGCAGTGGCAAAGCTGTTCCCCAGGGGAGAGCTCTCTTTGCAGCTAAAAATAACCCTGCTCGCTAGGATGTGGCTCCGCAGGGACCGTCCCCAGTCACGCCTCTGATGCACACACCTCCGTTATAGCCACAGGTTCATCTCCAGGCGGCTACTCCTCCCTTCCTCCCCTTAAACAGGGGAAACAAATCTCCTGCCATCGCTGCATTCATCTGAGGGAACTTCTAAGGAATGAGCAGAGCTGAGCTCACCCTTAGCATGACCAGTAGCCAACGTCTAAGACTCGAGGAGGAAGATGGAGCCACCCCATCAGCATGTGGCTGTGTGCTCTGCGCCCTCCAGGGGCAGCTCCCTGCAGCCGGAGGGGACGATGACCTTCTCCAGGGAAACATTTTGCTCAGGTGAAACCCACACGAGTTGGCCTTGGTGTCAGCTCTGTGCCTTGCAGTGTGGGACCAGCCCTGGGAACAGCCCTGTCAGCAGTGCTGCATGGGGGTCTTCTCAGTAGGGTTTCAGGTGCGGCGCTCCCCTGGGCACAGAGGTGTGCCTTGTTATTACCTGTGGATGGGCTCTCCCCACTGCCTGTGTGGGGTGGGTGTGAGCCTGGTGTCCCAAAACCAGCCATGATGCCCCCACACAGACCCCCTGCAGGGACATTTGCACCTGACAGCAGCCAGTGAGGTGCAATACCCCTGGGGCCGCAGAGTCACCTTTACCTGCATGCCTTCACTAATGAAAGCCATTGGAGCCCAGCTGCGATGCTCTCCCTCCTGTCACCTGGACGAACAACATGACACAATTTCATTGTGCTGGAAGGTCATAGAGGTTTTTTTGCCTACTCTAAAACCTTTCTTTGGTTTCAATCTTGTTCCTCAGTGCATGTGAGAGTTAACACCAGTCACTACTGCTCTTTCCAGAGCACACATTCTCTGCCAGGGCTCTCTGCAGTGCCCTTGATGCTCAGTGGTGAACGTGAGCAACACCACCACAAGGAAATAAACAGTAAATAACTGTGGTGAATATTGGCTGTCTATTGTGCCTATGCAAGCTTAAGAAGTCCTTCATGTGGAGATTATTGGCATTGTGCACTTTTAATGGATAATTCATAGGTCTTGTAACATAACCCATCAATGCATTATATCCTGAGGGAGTATTTAATCGGCAGATCTGCCCCCATAGATTAGCTCTGCATGCTGTAAAAACAGAGTATTTTCAATATCAAGTAGGTACTTAAAGCAGACAACAAGGGTCATTTCAATTAAAAATCAAAGCCTTAGGAAGCTTCACTTGCTTTTTAAAAGAAATTCAAAATTGGTATTCTAAAAATTTCTCCAAGCGTGTACTAAAATAATTTCTGTGTGCTTGTATTATGTGACTGGATGGTTAACTGCTCTGCTGTACTGTCCATTTTAGATGCACAGGCCACCTCTGTATGTTTTTCCTCTTCCATACATGCGAGCATGTGGCTCAGCCACCTTTACAATATTCATTTTAACAGGTCATTCTACATAAATTTTGGGGGAGGAGAGGGGTTTTTTCTTAAATTAAAGTAACAGCATTATACCCCATGCCATCACTCTGTAGCCATATGGCTCAGAAACAAACTAGGAAAGAAGCTCCTACTTCTTCCAGCAACCTTCTGTTTGTTGTCGTCAGCCCACCTAGCTGGCCCTCAGCCAGGCACAGGTCTGTCCCAGTTTAACATCTGATTTTTAATTTTCTGCAGTCAGTGTTGATTTCCCTGTCCATCCCCTCCACAGCTCTGTGACCCGGCCTCAGTGCCCATGTTGGTCCCACCACCCCTTTGTTCCCAGACCCGTCACGCAGCTGGCCCAGCCCCTTTTGCTCCAGCATGATGAATGATTTCCCGTCTTTGTTTCACTTCAAGTGCAATAGTTTTTTCTTAATGTCATTCTGGCACGAGCATGAAGTGGAGGGTCCCTGCGCCCACCAGCTGGGAGCTGCCACTAGCCAATGCCTGTAACCTGTTGGATGTGTTCAGGTCGGCAGGGCAGCTTGAAAAGGCTCAGCAGTGACACTCTTCCCGTGATCCAGTTTCTTGCCCAGCCTTGTTGTTTGAGGGTGGTGGATATCAGTCTGAGTTTGGCTAGCAGGAGTCGCTCAGCATGGCAAATGTCAATCTCATATTGGACAATCTCCTAGAGGGCCAACATCAAGCACTTTTTTAATGGATAATGTCACCTGACTCCACTATAATAAGGGAAAATAAAGCTATTGAGGAGAAACTATTTGTCCTGGTTTCGGCTGGGACAGAGTTAAATTTCCTCATAGTTCACTAGAAAGGAGAAGCTACAGCAAGGTTTTCTGCTTGAAGAAGAATATTACAAATATCAGAGCTCAGTTATATATAGGCAAGCAATCTAATCCAATGATTCCTTATAGCAAACATGGGGTGTTACGGATTTTGTCTTGAGTAGTTGTCCAAGAGCAAGCTATTTGCAATGTGAAAAAAAATAGGTGCTATGAAACAGGATCTTTGTAAGAAACTGGTGATTGTAATGTCACCAGTGATATGCAAGCGAAATCTAGTCTAGAATAATCCTGACAAAAATAAATTTCTGTATCCAATAAAAAACAGTTAACTATCGTATAGCCAGTACTCAAGGGGGAGAAATGCTTACACTCAATAACTTAATTTCATATTTTTTTTAATAATAAATATATGAAGAAAGCTTTTTACACCACTTATACCCTGTGACCAAACATATAAAAATCAAAGTCATGCCATAGATCCATCTTTCTAGTTTTGCATCCTGTCACCCTCACAGAATGTCACGCAATAAAAATCCAATAATATTCATTGATAAGTTTATCTTATAATAATGCACAAAGTCCCTGTAACGTCTCTGCAGCCTTGCTCAGAAATGTCATTAATGACTGGAAAGTCCATTATATAGCCCTGTGCAAGTGGCATCATCAAGAAAGTTCATTTAGGAAAATCTGCCTTTGGTTGTGCCAGTCTTTGCAGACTGGGCTGATTGTGATATCAACTTACTTTATTTTTTTATAGTTGCATTTTACCTTTATTCCTACAGTTCTATAAAGAATCACAACTTAAAGCATTGTTATTGGTTTTAAGGTCCAGTGCCACACGTTTCCGCTGGAGTCAGAGCTATTACACAGCCCAAGATGAATGGGCCTTAGACAACATCTACATCGGGCAGCAGTGTCCCAATATGTGCAGCGGACATGGCTGGTGCGACCACGGCGTTTGCAGGTATAAAGCATTTGCCAGTTCCTCTTAATGATGGTCTGCTGATACATCAGGTATCCTGTTGTTTTGTGTGCTTTTTTTTTGTTTTGTTTTTGGCTGTTGTTTTTATTTTTAGATTAAAAGTTAAAAAATAAAAGCACTGTGGAGGGTTTGACCATTTAAGCAACATTTACAGCCAGTTGCTCCACATCTCTCTGTCCAAGAACTCATACTACCCTTGGGAGATCCAGGCACTGGAAGAGCTTTCAGTGGCACAGGGCTGCCTTGCTGCAGCTGTCCTGGTGACCCCCCCCAGCCCTTTGTACAAGGCCCCCCCAGACCAGCTCAGTGCTGGAGCCGTTTTGCTGGGTCAGACAGATGCCAGGGACCAGCTCAGCACTGCTTGGCTGCTGTTGTGAGATCAGGTGCAATGCAGTCAGTACAGACTACTGCCTGACAGCTTGAAACACTCTGGGCACTGCAGGGTTTTTTTAGAAATAAGATGCAGCTTGTTTTCAGTCATCCAGTTATTCCATCTTGTTTCCAGGATGCAAAATTCCAGTCCCAGAATTATTTATTATTTCACATCTAATTTTAAGGGTCAGTGGACTGTCTTAAGTAATTCTAAGTGTTAAATAAATCCTTTAAAACTTGTTACCTTTATGCCTCCTTCCAGGTGTGACTCAGGATTTCGGGGTAATGAATGTCAGCCTGAAAATCCCCTTCCTTCAACCATCATGTCTGATTTTGAGAATCCAGATGGCCTGAAGACAGAGTGGCAGGAAATTATCGGGGGAGAAATCGTCAAGCCTGAAGAAGGCTGTGGGGTCATCTCATCTGGCTCCTCGCTTTACTTCAATAAGGTACTAACAAGGGATGGGAGACTGAGAATCATAGAATCACAGAATGGTTTGGGCTGGAAGGGACCTTGAAGATCATTGAGTTCCAACCCCCCTGCCATGGGCAGGGACACCTTCCACTAGACCAGGTTGCTCAAAGCCTCATCCAGCCTGGCCTTGAACACCTCCAGGGATGGGGCATCCACAGCTTCTCTGGGCAACCTGTTCCAGTGCCTCACCACCCTCACATGAAAATACTTCTTCCTAATATCTAGTCTACATTTACCTTCTTTCAGCTTCAAACCCTTACTCTTTGTCCTGTCACTACACTCCCTGATAAAGAGTGCCTCCCCATCTCCCCTGCAGCCCCATTCAAGTACTGGAAGGCTGCTATAAGGTCTACCCAGAGCCTTCTCTTCTCCAGGCTGAACAACCTGTCTGATCTCTCTCAGCCTGTCCTCATATGGGAGGTGCTCCAGCCCTCTGACCATCTTCATGGCTCTCCTCTGGACTCGCTCCAACACACCGATGTCTTTCTTATGTCTTAAGAAAGGTCTGTGTCCTTCTTATAGCTTAAGAAAGGCATGTAGTGTGGGTTTGAATGGAGCATGATGTGGTTATATGGCAAATAAAAGGAAGGTGGCAGAAAGCAGCACACAGCGTGAGAAGTGCATTAAACAGCGCAGCTGTGCTCTGCAGGTAAAGAACAAAACAATCAAAAGAGATAGGGAGGGACATGTGCATTATGTATCGAAGAAACACCAGCTGTAATGGAAGGAAGTAAATCGCCAGTGTGTCGGGAAGCGTGTACATTCATACTGTCTTAATTGTGCATTTTCTGTTTTAAGACTCAGTTCTTTTTCAGCATCCAGCAGCTCCCATTTGTTTGTTGTGTACTGTTCTGGGCAAGGCATAGAGAAAGATTGGCTTTCCAGGTGACAGGCAGCTTAATTTGAGGTCACAGGATCAAATCTAGTGAAAAAACAACCCCTCCAGACCTCTAGAAATTGGTTAGCCTGTAGGAGGATATTCTTTGGTATAACTTGGATGCTTCACAGACAAAAAATAATAGAACAGGAAAAAGATATATGGAATTCTGCTAATTATTAGCGATTATAACCAAAATAAAATGAGATCTTTATGACCAGATGTAAGATTATGGTTGTAATCACAGATTTATTTTTTTATTGTTGCTCCTTGGGTCTAGTACTGGGTTTTGTTTTGTCCTTAATTGAAAGGAAGAGTATAAATGCAGCTATGTGCTTCTCTTTTAAAGGTTTGATCAAACTGCCACTCCTGTCATGAGCGCCAGATTAGTCCCAGGAGAATAACCCAATATGCAGCACTGTGTAATGGTGTGTTGTTTACCTCATTACAAAAATCTAACCCATCAAATAATTTTCAGCACTCCTACATAGTCTCACGTCCAGCTCCCCTGGAAATGCGTCTCTGTGCTGAAAATTTCATAATACACCAATCAGTGCAACTAGCTAATTGTGATAATTGGGTTTTTTTATATAATTTTCTTCTCTGTTAGATGTTTTTCCTTCTGGCTCAGTTCCTTATGCCGAGTTTCTCAAAGTAGTTTGCTAAATTGGAATTAACCTGCTATGATCTTTCTTCTGATTTCTGTTAAGGAGGAGTGAAAAACTAATTTAGAAATTCTTGGCTTTTTTCTATTGATCTCTAAGGGTTAGGTTATCATTCATTTCATGAGTAGTAGCAGTCTGTGTGCCATCAACAGAAGGTGGTTATTTAATTTCTTTTTAGATCTTTTTCAAGGCGTCTAGTGGCCATGCTGGTAGATAATAAAAAAATATTTTTATAGTTGCCCAACAGTTTTGTATTGTTTTGGAAGCTCATATTCACAGGCCCAGTTTCTTTGCATTTGCTCAAATAGACACTTTTTATTTGAATGTCTAATGTTTGCTGCCATAATCAATTACTGCTACCAGAATTAGCGTTGGCTTTGTTCTGCCGACCCCCTCTCTTTTGGTGTGCAGCTCATTTTAATCAATTGTAGGTGTGTTTGCAATACAGAGCTCTTTCAGTTAGCCCCTGCAATTCCTCTGAGGTTTTATGTCACTGGTGCCCTTTCTTAATTAACCTGGTTCTGTGGTTAACCCTTTGGCAGGCATTGCTGCTGGGGGGTGTAGATATGGAAAACCTCCCTGGAATAGTTTCACAGACAGAGCTTGATTCACTGCAGTATGTTGGGTATCCTCAGCCAGCTGGGACCCACCTGCTCATGGGACAGTAAGGGTGTTTGCATCTTTTTTATCCATTACTAGTTTGATTTGATGACGGTAATTCAAATCCCCATGGGTCTCCAAAAGAAGCTGTAAAAATAAACTATCAGTGTCACCTTGGCCAGTATGAACCACATAATTCAATGTGACTGTATCCTAAGTGAGTTTTTTGAGGCTCAAAGAATTCTTCACAGGTTTTAGTTGTCATTGGTCGTGTAAGCTAGCTGAGTTTCAAAAACACAAGCATTCAGCTTCCAGAAATTAGTCTAGCAGTGTGATGTGGCCTATTTGGCAGAGTCTAGAAATGAGCTATGGACCCAGGCTGTAACACCAGCAAAGCAGAATGTTCTGAGAAGGAAAGCAATAGACATTTATCTGCACGGAGTTTACCCTGAACTGGGTAGGAAGAGGAAAGAGGTGACAGGACTTATTTTAATCTATCATCTTATCAAAAAACACAGATGATATATGAAATCTTAGCTCGTAGATCTTATTACTTCTGTCCAACTAGATCATGCCACTTGCTTATCTCAAATTTGTCTGGAAATTTGTCAGGAGGATCATGGGTGTACAAGTGAGAAAAAAAGGGATGTACAGGGAAAAACATAAATCTTACTTAAAACATAAGCATAATTTTATAACTTAGTCCAGGTTTTCCTTTTTGGTACCTTTTTGTGCTTGGAGATGGACAGGAACCCATTATTTTTTAGGGAATTAAAAACAGTAGGCGTGTTGCTAGTTCTGCTCCATTTTGGGGGGCAGTGCCAGGTTGCAGCTACTTTTAATGAAGGCAGGAATATGATCCCTGCATCCCCTGTCCAGCTGCAGTATTTGGCTTTGCCCCACCTATAACACTTTGTGGCAGCACGGCACTGTGCCGGGGTAGGGCTGTGCCAGGCATGGGGTATGCGGATCACCTCTGCAGGGACAGTGCCTTGCCAGAGGAAGCTTATATCACATATCAATATCTCGTGGGCTTGTTGCTGGTCAAGCCCGCAAGCTCAGCCCCAAGCAGTGGGGCACAAGTGGAAGAGGGGAATGGGATAATTCCAGTTACACTAAAAGGCTTTTAAACCCGAAAGCTTTTTTAGCTGATTATGCTCTTCCTTTGCCAACATTCACAGAGCGACCATGTTGACCACAGTGTTGATGTCCAAGAGCTGTTTCCTGATAGAATTCAAAAACACCCTTGGAAAAGCTGTTCACTAAATTTTATGAGGCTATTTTTTCTCTCAGCTATGCTCAGGGAAACCTGAAACCAAATCCACAGGTTTTAGTTGAGAGACTCCTGGTTTACAACACTTACTAGGAAGAGAACCTGGTTTTGTGTAGGTACAAATCCTACTCAGGTAGGGCATGAAGAGAAAATGCCCCTCCCTTGTTCTGGTGTAGGAGGTGGGCTTCAAGCAACTGGTATTACAGGGGCTGAAATTGCAGATGACCTCTGCTCTTTGTCTTCTCTGAAGGTACTTGGGCCCTTGAAAGAATGAGATGAAACAGTTCAGTGGAAATTGTGGTGTGAAGTTGCATTGTTGTTGAAATCTAAGAATAAAAATTCTTGTGGGATCACACCAAGGTGATTAAGACATAAAGGACGGCCAAGCACAATCACTGTCACAGAAAAAAAGTCATGTTAACACAAAATTCAATGTCCTCCATGTTGTGCAATATTCATCTGTGTTGGACTTTAAATATGTCTCTTCATAGTGAAGGTGTCGTATTTAATACTATTTTCCCCTCCTCTGTTCTTCTTATTTTAGGCTGGAAAAAGGCAGTTGGTAAGCTGGGATTTGGACACAACCTGGGTGGATTTTGTCCAGTTTTATATCCAGATAGGAGGAGATAGTTCTTCATGCAATAAACCAGACAGCAGAGAGGAAGGTGTGCTGCTGCAATACAGCAATAACGGCGGTATCAACTGGCAGCTACTAGCAGAAATGTATTTCTCTGACTTCAGCAAGCCCAGGTATAATTTTGGTATAAACTAAATCCATACTGCATGAGTTCTTTTAAAAAAACAATTTTTCCATTTATTAAAACATGAATAATAGTCTCAAGTTATGAGGCTTAAAAGCCATAATTATACGGAAAATTTTCCAGGCTGCCACAATAAAGTCCTGTCGCTAGGGAGGAAAAATCTAATGAAAGTGGGCCTTAAAAAATCTGAAGTAAAACATAAAGTTTCCAGTCACTCACCTCCCATGTGAAACATGACTAAAATTCTAATATGTGCAAAAGATTAGCAAGCAAAGACAGAACTTGCCCAAAAGAGGTGTAGAAATTGCCATTTCCTCTGACTCTGGTTTCAGATCTAATGAACGTGTATTAATGTCACATATAACAAAAACTCCTTTAAAGAAATATTTGAGGAGAAGAAACCACATTCAGCATTTCAAATTTGCTTGTAAACTAGCTTGTCAGTGAAAATTTAAATTGAATTTGTCTGCATAGGTGTTAACATGATTTCCGTTCCCTCTAGTTCATGTCTTTGAATATGTAAATAATTTTATCTTCCCATCTTGTCATTTTGCATTGCAATGAACAATGTGTTCAGAGGGACTTCTGTAACTCAGCAAACTCTCCTTTTCTGAAGATGATTGAAGCACTTGGAAGTAAAAACCATTGAACTTTGTTTAGCCTCTACTTTGTCAAAATTACAGGACATATCCAACATAGAAGCTACATGCTGAAACTTTCATCACTGGACCATCCAATACATTATTTTTAGACAAAACATTTGCCCCTCTGAGTAACCAGGAGTGATGTTCCTTACTGAATACAGCTATGTAAATTTATTTTTCTGCTGCTTCAAATGTGGTCCAGATCTTATTTTCCAATTCCTTATTTCCTAACCCATAAATCTAGGAATCCTCTGGAAAAGAAGGTTCCCTGTAGCCCTGAACAATTGCTCCACTTCTCTCTGCCTAAGCAGTGAGTGAAGCAGGGTCCATGGTACCAAATAACATGTGGTGTAAGGAAAGAGCACAGAAGGGAAGAGTTGTATAAATGCATATATGTAAGGTGTCTGAAATAACACTGAACAAGTAACTTATTATTATACTTTTTAATGTAAGTATGATTAAGTTTGAAATGTTAACCTTTATTTGACATCACTTTTGCAAGGTGTTTCCCAAGTTGAATATAAAAAACTATCTGACAAGACCTAAAGTTATTTTATGAAGATCCATATAGCTAAGGGGAAATATTTTTATCCACAGCAGAAAACTCTGCCACATAATGTATTGCATTGTAATAGGAGGGTGTTTTTTTCTACAAATGTGACCAACCAGCAGAAGAGAATTAGAAATTACTTTTGCCAGCATATTTCACTGTTGCTTGCTGGCACATTAAGACTTGCTGGACATGGATCAGCTGACGGTTTAATTCAAAGCTGAATAGTTCAAATCAGTTCCTTATTATGCTAGGCAATGTAGTAATAGAGAGTAAAAAATAGCCATTGTCTTAAAGAGTTTACATTCTCCACAGACAAGAAGGACAAAGAAGGCTTCTTGATATGCAGTGTATAAATAGGTATCCAGATATCTAGAGGATTTCTGACAACTTCTATATGTAAGACAGAGACTGGTTTTCCTGCCTCTTTTCCCTGTTCAGAGGCATTTCTCCCATTTCTCTACAAACTGTGTTCCCTACAGTTCTTCTGAATTTCTGTTCTTCAGGTTTGTCTATCTGGAGCTGCCAGCTGCAGCCAAGACGCCTTGCACCAGGTTTCGTTGGTGGCAGCCTGTGTTTTCTGGGGAAGGGTACGATCAGTGGGCTGTCGATGACATCATCATTTTGTCAGAGAAGCAGAAGCACATCATTCCCGTTGTTAATCCCACTTTACCACAGGTAATAAGCAAGAAGACATCCCTGAAAAACAGGAACCATCCTCTCTGTTAGTAGACTTGTATTTGAATATAATTTTCTTAGAAAATATTTGGTGTATTTAAAGAAAGAGCTGTGGTGACTGCAGCTGTGTCTCTCTGTGTGAGAATAACCTGGGTCTTATTACAAAAACATCAGGCTCCTAATCTTTGCAATAGAGGATGTAATTTTGTATTTCCTCAAAAAGCCAAGACAGAAATTTTGGAAATTACAAATTTTTTTTAAATGACAAAATTTGAAAGTTGATAATTTTGGAAATTATTCTGAAGTCACACTGCAGGGTGATAGTACTTGTTGTTGCTTTTCTTTTCATTTCTAACAGAACTTTTACGAAAAGCCAGCATTTGATTACCCTATGAACCAGCTGAGCATTTGGTTAATGTTGGCCAATGAAGGGATGCCCAAAAATGAAAGTTTCTGCTCTGCCACCCCCTCTGCCATGCTCTTTGGTAAATCAGATGGAGACCGGTTTGCAGTGACTCGAGATTTAACTCTGAAGCCTGGATATGTCCTGCAGTTCAAGGTATTCCTTAAACATAAATACCTGCAGAATATCAGTAAAACTGCTCTTATTAAATACTTGCAAGATGTCACTGGGGCCACAGTTCAAAACAAGGTGATAAATTATACCACCACTGTGTAAAAAGTTGTGAAGAGCACAAGCATGAATTTATACAGTGTAAAATATCATGCTGGTTTTGAAAAGGACAGCTAAAACCTTGGTGCAGGAGAGCTTTTTTACCCCTCTGGAGAAATTTTAAAGCTGCTTATTCTTCAACACATTTCAAAAGTGGGTTGAAGTGACTGTCATTATGTTTGAGACAGTACTAGGAAATGCTACTGCACTGTCAAGGGAAAAAGGATTTATCCCATCTGGGGCTCCATGACTACAAACGCTCCAATGTAATTTGTGTACATTTTTTGTATTTTAAACTATTTAAGGTCTTACAAGCTGCTCTGTACTCCAGTGTGATTTTTTTAATATAATTTACTTTTATTGTGTCAATATAGGCTCCATTTAGCATTCTCTTCTTTAAAGGGCTTACAAAAATTTCAGTGGTCTGACAATACATCAGAATATGGGCTCCAAAGAAAGTGTATTTGTTTTGACAAGCTCTTGGTTCTGAACCCTAATCAAAATTTTATTGAGTTTATAATGAAATCCCATTGGTGAATTCTGGAGGTTGGTTGCAATGCAATTTTAATGAGCTCACCACAAATACATGGTCCTTACATAATTGGTGGATACAGACACTGAATAATTTACAAGTGGAATTATTAAAGAGATCAGATGTTTACAGGCAGCTTTTCAAATATAATTCCCACAGTTCTATAAATAGGAAAGTTAGTTAGAAATAATGGGATTTGTAAAATAATCTCATTTCATCTAGAAGTTATGCTAATTAAATGCTATGCAAACTGAGGGATGGCAGTACAATTTCTGAGTATTGCTTATAGTTTTATACCTTAAACTGTCTAAAACCCCAAAATATTCCAATACACAAATACCACTTACCCTGGACAAGGTGCTACTTGCCTCTTCACCACTTTCCCCTACCTCAGTGACTAAGTCTCCATTCTGTAGATTTGATCATCAACAGAAATTCAAAAATTGTTCAGTCTAAAAAAGCAATACTTAAAAATATTTCATATGCCTTCTATCTCTGAAACTCTTGGCAATGTAACATAAATATACAAAACATAAACATGTATCAGAGAACAGTGAGTTCTTCTTTATAAAGTCTGTTATTTAAGGCCTGAATTTATACTCCTCTCTTTTTTTTGAAAGCTTTTAAACTGGCCTGCACACAAATGTGCTAGTTCTATTTGCATGCTTTAATTTTAAACATATGGTTAAATGCTTTCTTGAGTTTCTGAAATTTCCATTTTAAATAGCTGCCTGGAATAATTTTGCATTGATAAACTCAAAGACGGTAATTTGTCAGAATTATTTCATTTTCCATGAACGATTTTGTTTTACATTTTACATTCTACAGCTCAAGTAGACTTTCTACAATAAAATAATGAAAACTAATATTTTACTGATAGCTTGAAAAATTAAATTGAAAAGTACAAATCAGCAGCTGATTTTTGTCTTGGTTACATTCTCATTTCACATTTTAATATATCTTTTTCTACTGCATCCAATTTTGCTCTGTTCTGTGGGCCAAAACTGTGGCGCCAACCCCCAGACATCATTCCTGTGAGGTCAATGACTAGGCTATGGTCAAGGCTCACAGCTCAGGGCAGGGGGGATCTGAGAGTCAGGCTGATCCTCTGGGCACATCAGGCAGACTGCAGATGGGATGGGTCTTAGAGGATACAGTTCTTCACACTCCTCCTGGGCCATGTAGCTGCACGGGCACAGTTTGCTGTTTGTGGTCCGTTATGCACCAAGACCTCTGAAAAGCTCTTTGCACATTTCAGTGTTTTGAACCCAGCAATCTCAATGAAGGAACAGTGGGAATTTTTTGCTGAGAAATGTCATATACCTGTAGTAAACAGACTCCAAGCATCAGTCACTGTTTGCCAGCAGGGTTCAAAGCAGGAGTTCAGAGAGCTAAGCCTCCCAAACTGAAAAGTCAAAGGTGGTTTGCAGCCAATAAATACCAATAACAGCGCTCATATCTGTTGCTCTGCTTTTTTGCAGCTGAACATTGGTTGCACTAACCAGTACAGCAGCTCAGCTCCCGTTCTGCTTCAGTACTCACATGACGCTGGGCTCTTCTGGTCGCTCGTGAAGGAGGGCTGCTACCCTGCATCTCCGGGCACGAAAGGATGCGAGGGAAGCTCCCGGGAGCTGAGTGAGCCAACTGTGTATCACACAGGAGATTTTGAGGACTGGACAAGAATTACTATTGTTATCCCCAGGTCACTTGCAGCCAGGTACTGTACACTGTAAACCAGCTATATCAGTGGTACCTGTGAATTAGCTGCTCTTCTTTCATGCTACATTAGGAAGAAGTTGCAAGCTGTGAATAAAAGTGGTGTTACAAATCAGCAAATCTGGGACAAATATAGTGTGCTCTCCAAAAGAGGGAGAAGCTTTCCATTTTAAAGGTGTCAGAATTGTCTATAAAACTAAATTACAAAGCAACAAGGAACCCAGAACATTTTAATTTGACATCAATCTCTTCATCATGGTGCTGTCTCTCTTTAGGTGTATGTTAGGTCAGAGGCACCAGCAAGAGAGTCTAAGTCACTTGATCCAAATAAGCCCTTTGAACAGGATTAATTTTACAGTTACCACTGGGCAATGAAACCCTAGAAGGGTATTTGAGCTACTGTGTAATGTGCCACTGAAGGTGGCCAGGACAGCTGAAGTCAAAGGAGGGAGGAGCAATAGGTGTGCTCATCTGCAAGTGCAACCTCAGCATCAGGTTAATAGAGATGAGAAGACATCAGATGGTGGAAGATGCAAATGAGCATTGAAATCAGGAGGCTTTTCTCAATCTTACTCAGATTTGGCTGAAGTTTCTCACACCCCTTGCTCACTGTCTTGCACTGTCAGTAAACTCCCCCCGGTTTGATTTGCTGCCTGCACCAACCGCTGCCTGCGCAGCCAGCAGCTGGCCCCCCGAGCCCCTTGCCATGCCCCACTGCCTCCTGCCTCTGTCCCCCCAGGCAGCTGCTCTGATGCTGTCCCTGGGCTTCAGCCCCATTCACCTGCCACGGGCTCCTCATCCTCAAGCCCCGGCACAGATTTTGAGTATGTGGCTTATTGTGTAGCAGGGGAGTGGTGCCTTTGCCATGAGGAGTTGAAATAGCAGCGTGTACCGTAACAAGTTTGTCTTTTCTTCAGTAATTACCCAATAAAAGCAGGTGCCAAACTGCACAGATCTGACACCAGCTGATTTGATTTACCCAAAACAAGCAGTGCAGAATCAATAGCAGCAATCTGTTTGGCATTATGTTCAGTAATGTGATCAAGAATAAGACGTTCGTGCTAATGCATGAAAAATCTAAGTGTTGTGAGTACGATGAAGGTCTCGGTGTGTTGAAAACTGAATTCGTTGTGTCACTTTGGAAATCATGGTTCATGCATTATCTGGAGAGTATCCCATTTCACCAGTTGGGCCAGAGCACTAAAACGATGATCATATACCTACCAAATCCCAGTGCATAGCAGGAAAGAAAGCAACAGGTTTATTATATTTTAGGCAGAGTAGCAAGGAGGATCTTAGTTAATCCATTGGATTGACAATGAGACTTTAAATCTGTTCTCCTCTCCAGAGCTCCTGTGAAATGATTCAGCAAAAAGTTAAAGACTGAAAATTAATAACCAGAATACTTTTTCTTCAACAAATTTTCTATGCAGTGGGTAAGCTGGAGTAACTTTGTGTAGGCTCACTGAAGTCCCTGGAGCAGTTTCAGTTATACAACTTAAGGGTTAGATCACTGTTTTCCAGGAATGTCATGTTGTCATCCAAGAATAAAAACTTAATATTTCTGTCCACATGTCCTATAGGACATGTTATTTGCTATTATTATTATTTTTAGAAAGTGGATTATTTTTTTTTGCATCCAAATTACTTGAAGGGTTTTTTACTCAGAATTATACAATCCCATAATAAACTCTGCATCACTGCCATTACTGATTTCCTTTCATAAGTACTGTAAGAAATGGAGTTCAGGGATTTTAATATGTAATTAGCAGTTCAGGTTGAACTGAATAGTGAAAGGCATCTTCAGAGTCACATCTAAGCATTCACTCTTGTTGATAAAACCACGTATCTCTTCTTTGCATCACACTGGTGGACACAGGCCAGAGAAATAGAGGAAGTTGAAACACAGCCAAAAAACCTGTGAAAAAACATCCTTAAGTGAAGTTGCACAAAATGTAGGATGTCAGAAATATTTTCCAAGCATCCATTTGCATCTTATTTGCAAATGTCAAATGTAGAAAAAGCTCCTTTTAATCTCAAGCAAGGAGCAGTAGATATTGAAGTTGGGAATAGTAATACCGTGCCCTTCATCATGTTTCTCTACAGTAAGACTCGATTCCGCTGGATCCAGGACAGCAGCTCCCACAAGACCGTGCCTCCTTTTGGCTTAGACGGTGTTTACATTTCTGAGCCTTGCCCCAACTACTGCAACGGTCATGGGGACTGCGTCTCGGGGGTCTGCTTCTGTGACCTGGGCTACACAGGTAAGACAGCCCTTTCTAGGCAGGATTACAGTAAGCATTGTCTGAATTAAAGCTGTAAATCTAGCATGTCGTTTTTCCTCTCCAATATTCCAGAAAAACATACGATGACATAAATTTCATGGGATGCCAAAAATTTCATTTTGTTAAATAAAATTCAGCACAGGCAAAACAGAGCAGCTGAAGGCAGCAGACACCGGTGATGTTTCTGGCAACCACAGTCTTTGAACATCACCATCTGTATGAATGGAAGGGACTAGCGATAAAAGAGAAAACAAAATAAAATATTATAAACTAAAAAGTCTGCTTAAAAGCCTTTGGATCATCTTCAAAAGAATTGCTGCCGTTTTTGAGTCCCCTGGCCATTAGATGGCATGGGACCAGGAGGGAACATATGTTCTGACAGGCCCTTCTGTGGAAAATTATGCTCACTTGTGGTTTCAGGGGCTTGTATGCTAAAAAAAAAAAAAAAAAAAAAAAATCAAAAAACCAACCCAAAACCAAAACCCCCCAAAACAATATGTGATTGACACAACCAGTTGCATTCTGCACTTTTTTCAACCCTCTATACCAGCAAAGCAATAAGCTAACATCTTTTGTTCGATTTGTTTAAAAGGAAATAAAAGGAAATACATAAATTTACATAAAATGCCTTATCATGTGTCTGTTTTTCACCCAGTGAAATAAACCATCTTAGAGTTTAGAGGAAGAGGCTTATTCTGCCTACAAAAACTTGTAAAGCAGGTTTAAAAAGGGATAATCCTGTCATCAGGGCATTTTCTTAGAAAAATCCGGTACTTTCTCATATGTGAATATAACAGAACCATCTGCCAATGTACTGTATCTGACCTTTACTCTCTTCAGCACAGTTTCACCAAAGCATCTCCCATATATTTTTTTTTCTTGAAGCATCGCATGGAACCTGTGTGTCTAATGTGCCTAATCACAGTGAGATGTTCGACAGGTTTGAGAGGAAGCTAAGCCCTCTCTGGTACAAGATAACAGGAGGTCAGGTTGGGACGGGCTGTGGAGTGCTCAGTGACGGAAAATCTCTGTACTTCAATGGACCTGGCAAAAGGGAGGCGAGGACTGTTCCCCTGGACACCACAAACATCAGGTCAATCCTCAGTGCTGCTTCTCACAATTGTCTGTGTATTCATGTTGTTTCCTCTCTGCTATTAGAAGTGTAGATGTGAGAAGGTGGGAAATGTTTTTCTGGTAACCGCAACCTGTACAAGAAATCTTAAAGGCAGAGAAATTACTTTTTTGTTCATTCTGGTGTACTATATCCTTTATTTCCTTTTCCTGAGAGAGAATACTTAGGTTAGAAACAGTAGAATAGCAACATTAAAAAAATGTAACTGTTTATCTTCTGAGAAGATGGTTTGCATTGTATGCTAGATGGAAAGGCAAAAGAAAATGTGGTCTTGAGACTGCACAAAACCTAAGACTCTCCCCATAGATGGACAGAAAAAGTCCCTCCCCCAGCTGTGTTGAACAGCAGGCATGGCAATGGCGCAGCAATGAGCTGTTGTTTACTTCTCAGATATTGTGAATGAATCCACGTGTCAGAAGTGTAAAAAACCAGAATGTGAATTGTTTTTGTGTAGCCAAGAGGCTAACAAGCCTTCACCTCTCTCCCTGCTACCGCTGAATCCTCTTCCACTGGTAGCAATTATCCTTTTTGTCTCAAATTGTCTAATTGATTAACCTAATTGGTATAAATAAAGGGCTGTTAATTCTAACCATTATTTAGCCTGGAGTGTGCGGATGCTTTGTCCAGTCTCATAAGGAACCTGCACCTGACAACTTGCCCACCCTACAATTATATCAATTAGCTCAATAAAAGATATTTCTCCTGACAAATACTGCTCCAAGAGTAAGTAATGCCCTGATCTGCTGCATTATTCTATTTGTGGGATCACTCAGCAAAAATTTGCCACAAGTCACTGCTGCCGCTCTCCAGCTCAGCCAAGTGGTGCTCCTTAGGGCAGTACGGGTGCTGCGGCTTGGGACATCCTTAGCTGCTCCCCAGCACCGAACGGCACAGCACCAGCTGCCTTTCCTCTGTCCCCTGCGTGTCTGATGAATACATGAATTATTTATATAATTATGTAAATTACTTAATAATTCACTTAATTAATTGTTTGACAAATAAGCTTTGGACAAGTACATGTTTGCACTGGACCTCTGGGAAGATCTGAGTGTTTCTTTTCTGTTCCACCGTCTTTTTAAATCTTGTGTTATTAATCCTGTGAAGTATGATATTGGAAGTAACCACATCATCAAGAAGTCCATATTCAAACAGTATTTTTGAGTTATTCCTTCCTTCCTGGAGAAATTTTTTTAAAAAAGAAAAGGATATTCTTTAACTTTGAGATTACCTTGAAACCACTTTAAAAGCCAGCTATTCATATTTATATCTTTCCATTTTTATGGAGTTTGAACCATTTTAAAAGCCAGAATACGTTTTAAAATACTGAGCAATGCCCTTTCTTGGCTTTTTAGATTTATCACTACTTCCGTTTTGCACAAGAACATGGTCATCTGATGTCTTAAAACTGCCCCAAGAATGTAAATGGCCAGAGGGACACCTGATAAGAGCAACTGAGATCCCTCTTCTGAGCATGCGCTTACTGTGTGAGCTGCAACTGATCATTTTGTAAAAACAAATCAGCATTTTTTTTAATAAGCATCACAGTAAGCAGTTTAACTACCTTGAACAATTCAAGCTTGAATCCCTGGGCAGAACAGACACACTGGTCATCTCAAATACAAATGGGACTGACATTGATTTTTTGGTTTCTTCAGCCACATGTGTGCTCAAGAGTTGTATCCATCTCATGCCTTGACGAGAACATGGACATCTTAGATTACAGCAATTACCCCAGGCTGCTTTTGTGTTCAGCTACTTCAAAAGGGCAATGCAACTCATCCTAAAATAGGGCCTAGCAAAAGCCAGTGCTTTGTCTTCTGGAAGCAAGTATTTTTTTCATTAATTATAAGGCAACCTGGGTTGCCTTATGTATGCCCATGTAAAACTTAGACGTTCAGTTTCAGACACCTTGCTTAGAACAGCTGTATCCCACTTTAATGTTTGATACCATCTGTAACATTAACTGGGTCTTTTTTACTAGAAGCAAAGGCAGACTAAGTTTGTGAGAGTGTGAGGGGTTAACTGAAAGACTCATACCCTAAAAAGAAAATAATTCCTCAGCCTAGAAATCTTTTTCTGTTATTTCAGCTAAAATTAATGTCACTTGAAAAAGGAGAACAGAGGGAAACACTTTTTCCTATGTTGGTATTACTTTTTGCATTCAGTAATACCTTGCATAGAATTCAGTGTCTTATTAGGGGTCATCTTAGCCCCTGCACAGTTATCTTTTCCTTGTGCGTGGGTTTTTGGTTGGGGAGTTTTGGTGGATGAGTAAACAGAAGGAAAATGTGCCTTGATTAGATATATGGATTGAGGGTTGTGAATAGAAAGGCTGAAACTCCTGCAGTAGTTTTTTAAGCTTCTTGTTTTTCAGGTTAATAGTGTTTTCCCAGACCTTTTAAGATCTTGTTTCATTAAATCAGGCATGGAAGAGCAAAAAATTGAAAAACATTGCAAGATATTAAAGTTTTGTTTTCATTCTGAATTGCTGCAAATGTGCCTATGCGTATTTCCTATCATCTTGCTTCGATTACAGCTTTTTGTATGTAAAGTGTAAATTTTATGTAAGGAATTTAAAGATTTTTTGTTCTTTTTTGTAAGAAGTACAAAGACCCTTTTCCCCTTCACTCTTGTCTTCCCAGAGGAGCAGAATCCAGGGTGGCTTGGTGTTCCCAGTTCACTCTGCTCCAAAGGGGCTGAGATTTGCCAGCCCGAGGTGCGTGGTGCTGCTCAGGGAAGCAGCCCAACAGGGCACCGCCAAATGCAGGTGTCATGCTAAGAGCATTTAAAACTAAAACTTGCTTCCTGAAGCCAATGATGGTAAACAAGCACTTGATGTTTAGCATATACATTGTGCTATCATAATCTTAGCTTTGTTTTCCTATTGTCTCCTTATTCCATTATATGATTGTCCATACTTTTTTCACCAACATTAAGAGAATGTCACATAGCACTACGAGAGCTGCAAGTGTCAAAATTAATTTCACCTAGACCATTTTTTGCCCTACACTGCAGAAACCCTCTGGAGTCTCTCCATCCCTTTCCTTTTGCACGGCCCAATGTGACAAAGGCAGAATTTCACCAGCAGTATTTCCATCCTCCTGAATGTCAGTACGATACCTGGTTGCATTTTGGTTACTGATGAGCTACTGCCTCCCATTTTGATGGCCTGTCCCTTATGACACTCTTCACTATCTGTTCAGTGAGAGCATTTGCACACAGTGCCTACCTGGCAGCTAGATAAAAACCATGGAATAAATATATATTTTTCCCAAGCGGTGACATCTGGCTTGTTAGCTCCTGTCTGCGTTACAGACTCTGTTGCTAATGACTGTGCAATCATCTCAGAGAGCTGTTCTGAGTCAAATGCTTACAGATCAGATGGGCTGATTCACCCTTCTGTAGAAAGGGATTTTTTTTTTGTCTTTTGTTTTTGCTTTTTACTGATCTTTACATTTGGCAAGCATAAAAGAGAATTTTATCATAGGATTGTAAATATTTTCACCTCTGAGACCACTGTCGTGTGTTTTATTGCCTGAATACTGTCTCAGACAACAGCTGCATCAAACAATAGGACCTACCTGGCTAAATACTGTTATACTCTGAGCCTGTCTCTTCTTGAGCTATCTATGGGGCTGTATTATGAATGAGACTGATGAGTATATTCTGGCTTGTCCTAATCCCTATGGATATAAAAAACATCTCAGGAGATAATGATTTTGATAACAGAATTGGAGTGTAGTCAGATTTAGAATGAGAAAAGGAGCATGATACTGTGTATGTAGCAGTGGGTGAGGGAAACCAGAGTCCTATCTGCATTGTATTGGCTCTGGCTGTAGTCCTGTGGCTTGTCTGTGATTTTACTATGTCACTACAAATTACGACTGAATCCCCTAAATTTAAAAGAGCTATCCTTGTAGGGAATTATTCGAGTGACAAATCAAGCCTTGTTTCTTCACACTGAGACACAAATTCACCTCAAAAATAGTATTTAAAATTAAGTTATCTACAAGCAGTAGAATTAATGAAACCTAGTTTCCTTTAGATTTGTGGGGTTCCCCCCGCCCCAAGCCCCTGTTTGGCAATAACCCCACCTCACCCTATGTGCTCCATGAGGACATCCTCACCACAAGGGACAAGCAGTTGCTTCCCCAAAAGATCACATCAGTGAGTACTCCATTAGCCATAACACAACAAGTAGGCATCACCCTAAGTCAAAAACTGGCTAGGAAATGAGAAGGAGAATGGCTTCACCGACTTTGTGGATGCAAAATCTCATCATGGGGACAAGTTCAGGTTACCTGCTCTGTTCAGGCACTCTTTTTGGGTGTCCAATGCAGACAACCTGTGAAGAAGGTGTAGATGTGGGGGCGATGGCATTTTCAGTCATCTCAATGCTCTTTGCATTATTTATGACCAGATAAAACTCAGATAAATGTCAGAGACATGCAATGAAATTTGGTGAGTGAGCAGCAGGACATTAATTGAAATTAACTGCTGTTATATAGCACAATAGTGTGCACCTAAGAGGAAATGTTAACTACTCTGACACAACAGACTCACAATTAAAAATATCAGTTCAGCATGGATACCAGAGCATCACTGCATAATGGGAAAAAAAATCAACAATATTTTGGAGCACAAGGATGCGATCATTATTAATACAAATACAGCTAAATAGGGATATTCCAGGGTAATCCAAAGTTCTGTCAATAAAACCAGCAATTCTCTCAAAAGGGATGTTGCAGCTTTAGAAGTGTTGCAGAAAATGGTTATGGGAAAAAATGGAGGACATGGAAAAACTTTAATGCAGAGAGAGATGAAAAGGTTGCAACTGTTTACAGTAGAAAGGAATAAGAGAAGGTAGGGAAGTGATAAAAACACTCACTACAGGGAAGGCTGCAAGAAAGGCAGATCAGGAACACCTTTTTCCCCCCATCTCATGACGTGAGAACAAGAGGATATTCAATGAAATCAAAATGTATAGGTTCAAAATTAAAGGGTCTATGTCACAAAATGTCCCATGAATGCTTTTCACTGAAAATTGCTTACATCAAGAATTTAAGGACCAAAAAAGGGATTTGTGGTTTAGTGAGAATATAATAATTCTGTTAAAACTCGTGTATTGTATTTTAAAGCTTAAACCAATTTCCAGTTAAAAGAGGTCAAGGTAAGATCTGATGTAAGTGAGCAGATTTGCCTGCTTCAGAGATTTTCCATCTTTGTGTGAAAGAAGGAAAGGCTAAATTCTGCTACTCAGACCAACAATACATTTCTTAGGCATGGGATCAATAAAACACATAATCTTCTTTCTGGGGTCCTCCACTGTTTACTATGACCATGCTTGATTTCACTAGGACCATTACCTGATCAATAAGGCTGAATAATGACCTAACTGAAAATGCCACATTAGTTAAGAGAGGCAAGTTATCCTGACTGATCTTGTGCTATCAGAAGACAATTACACTTCTACCCTGTTTTTTTAACAGGCTAGTTCAATTTTATGTACAAATTGGAAGCAAAGCTGTTGGTAACTCCTGCAACAGACCAAGAGCCAGGAATGAAGGTAAAGCCCCTTTTCTTTATAATAAGTTTTTTGTATTTTGGGTCTTGTACAGTGTCTGCCTTTACAAAATCAAAAAGATTGTTTTATTTTTAACATAAATTGATTACCTCTTCAGTTTTCATAAAATGGTGTAGAAAACTATTTACTTTTGTTCCACATCTGTATTTATACTTATTTCCACCAAACCTAATGGTGATCTACCAGTAGAAGTAACTGTTGGAGCTGTGATAGTTTAAGAAAGACGGTATTTACAAGATGAGCTGAAATAGCTTTAATTAGACTACTTGATAGTGTTACGAAACAATTAAATTTACAAGTACACAGAAGTTTCTTCAGGTCTGAAATAAAAGGAATAAAATTCAAGTTCAGAATAGAGCAGGCAACTTCCATTTCTGACCTGAAGAAGAGTTGCGTGCCTGAACACTTGTTCAGCTTCTCAACTACACAGTGGATCTAATGAGAGATTGTCTTCAAACCCAAGCTCATTAATGATTTACCTGAAATGCAAAATTGTAAAGCTGCAGCTGAAAATATATTGGTCTAAAGAAATTAATCTCTCCCAGCTGTGTCCTGTCTTATTTTACCCACATGCTTACAGTTATTGGGGTGGGGGACTGATATTTGTGTTTGGGAAGGATCAGCAGTTTTGGGAGCACATTCCCCATGTAAAGTGGTCTAATTGCATGAAGACAGACCACTGACATCTGGTGGATGAGAAAGCTTCATTCTCCTCTCAGTATAAATCATTTAACATCAATGGACTGTTTCCTGACATATGGTATTTACATCGATATTGACTCACAACTGTCATCTTTGATTTTCCTCTCATTTGCACCAGTATAAGACACAAGAGAATCTATTGTCTTTGAACATACTCCAGTATAAAAGAGTTTTAAGAGAAAAAATATACATAAGTCCTTCTTTTATTATCCCCTTTTATGAGCTCATAAGTGACCTCACAATTCTGCTACATCCTAATATTTGCCATACTGTGTGTTAGATATGAAGACTGTCTAAAATTATCTAAATATTATGATAATTAACTTCTAAGGATGTTGTGAGCTAGCATAGGTAGCATGAGCATTGTGAACTACCCACGTTGGGAGCCCAGCTATCAGAATTACAACTTAGTATTCCACACAAACTGTAAGGATACCTGACATGAAATAAATACTGACTATATGAAGAAAGTCACATTATTCCTGTCCTTTCTGTGGTACAATCCTAGTTTCATTGAGGTTGTAAAAGATCTGATCCTTTGAGTTTGGTGAAGACAAGCACGATAACATGTGGCAGCTGGCGAGCCCCTGTCACCTTTGCAGTAGGACTTTGTCCACAAAATGTTTCTGGACCAGGAGATGCCAAAAGGATAGGGGAGATGCCAGAAGTCACATGCACTGGTCAGGGGCTGGCAGCTTCTGAGTCCAGGCTGAAGAGTTGCCCCCCTTTGCTCTGTACAGTCAGACTAACTGCCTTTCTTAATTTTAAATATAGGGCTTGTTGTTCAATACACAAATGACAATGGGATCACCTGGGATTTGCTGCGAGAGCTGGACTTCATGTCGTACCTGGAACCCCAGGTTGTTTCGATAGACTTACCTCGGGAGGCCAAAACCCCTGCCACAGCTTTCCGTTGGTGGCAGCCACAACACGGTAAGCAACACCATCCTGAAAATTCATTAAGCAGCTTTCTGCAACCCACATGTCAATGCTTCTCAGTATGGACATGGTCTGCAGAAACCTCAGCTTACCAAAAACACAGTATGGTGAACAGCTGGGTGATGTGAGAGCATATTTAGGCTTTCCTCAGACACATTGCAGCCAGTATTTTCTTTTATAGCACCAAGCAGAATAGTGGGCTTAAGAGTGAAATTGTTTAAGAGCTAAGTTTAAACCAAAGATGCTGAGAGATAACAGAAGAGAGGGGAAAAGAATATTACTCAGAAAAATCCGAAGACTAGAGGATTTACCTGAGTATAGAGTGACCTGGGATGCAAAATGGCTTACACATTTTATCTCATTTTTTCTCTATTTTGGAAAAGGAGGCATAACTTGGTCTTGAATCTGCCTACCTGGTGGCTCCCATCTCACTGTTTTAACATCTCCACACTCCAAAACAGGCCCCTCATCGCCTGCCATTTCTGGTGTCCCAGTGCCTTCCTCCCGTGCCTTTTGCTGCACCTCCAAAGCCCACTCAGCCACTTCCCACATACTCAGCTGAAAGTACAACACTGGTGCTGACTGATACCTACAGCCACTGTGAGAGCTCCCACCTTGCATGGGGGCACGTTGCCACAGGACACTGAAAGTGTCCTGATTAAGTGTCTCACTTTTGTGCAAGGCAGCAGCTCCTGGACCCCTGCAGGAAATGTAAAGTGATAATCAGAAATATAGCAAAGTACATTTTAACAGCAATTCCCTGGGGAGAAAAGCACATGGTGTACTTTCAAGTAATTATGGTATGCAGCTTCTTGGACATCATTCATTATTTTGATGGCTATTAGTACATTTTCTTACAACGTACATGCTGGAGCTAATTGTCCTCACTAGGCAAAAGAGTAGAAAAAGCATGAGGGATGTGATTTCGTTAAGAAGCCAGTTCATTTGGGAAAAGTGCTGAGCAGCAACTGGTGCACCACAGACCACCATTCTGCCACGATCGTTTGCACTGGTGAGTGGTACGATTTCAGACCAGTTGCTCCCTACCTGGGTCCTGCCTGTGGCCACTTGCTCTGGAGGCACCTGGATGACATCTGTCCCTGTTGAGAGTGGTGTGGTCACTCTAAGACCACTGGCAGTCCTGTAGCTCCTAGTAAGAGGGAGAGTTTATGACTGGAGGTTGAAATACCACCTTCCATACCAGTACCCATAGGTGACAACCACTCCTCATTACAGATATTAGCTCCTTTGCAGACTGTCTGCCATAAATCAGCACAGGGTGGCCTGCTGCAAGCTACATTTCTTACAGTGGCAAGACAAAAGTCCTGGCACATCACTGCAAGCTCAGAATTTATTGTCAAGACTTTCCTTCTCCTGTAAGGGCAGTGATTGTACAGTAGGCTGACATTTTCAGCATGCCAGTAGAAAGGTGAATTGAAATGAAGGGCTGGAGAAATGGGCTGGAGATGATGGTGAGCTGGATGCCTGTAGGCTGGAAAGCAAGAGAAGAGAGAAGAGCAGTTTCCAGGAAGGAGAAGGTGAAGAGCACTTTAGTGAAAATCATCTATATCAAGAGCCTTCAGCATTTTCCATTATGTATTATCTTTTTCCATACAAAAAGTACTTTGGGAACTAGACAGACACCTTTCTGGTGTAGCTCTGGGCAACAGCAGGAAGGTTGTGATGTATAAAATGAAAATCCCCAATCCAGGGGCTCAGGGAGTGTCTCATTCAAACACAGGGAGAGCATATGATGACAGAGGCACTGAAGCTTGAGAAACAAAGATGGAAATACCTGTGTTTATCTGAAATAGAAACATACTCTAGAGTCCAGGTTCATCCTTGAGCATGTTTTAGTCTTGTTTAACAGTACTCAGTCTATGTAACTGAGCACTGCTCACTGGGTGAACACAGGATATGGACATAACAAATAACTTACAGGGACTCCACTAACCTGCTCATTCTGCTTTTTATAGGGAAGCATTCAGCTCAGTGGGCTTTGGACGATGTCCTTATCGGGATGAATGACAGCTCTCAGACTGGCTTCCAAGATAAATTTGATGGAACTGTGGATTTACAAGCAAGCTGGTACAGAATACAAGGAGGTCAAGTAGACATCGACTGCCTGTCTATGGATACAGCTCTGATGTTCAGTGAAAACATTGGTATGTGTCACCAAACATTGCTACATCTGTATGAGTCTATTTTATAAATTATTTGTGGGTCAAGTTTTCACAAGATGGGAGGTGGAGACATATTCAAGTACGCAGTAATCTGTAGGGAAGAGGAGGCTGAAAAAAAGTGAAAATACAGATAACAAATTTGAATGACAGTACTGAAAACATATGCATAAGTGTATTTTTTTGTTGTTGTTTTTCTCTGTTTTCTTAGGAAAACCTCGCTATGCTGAGACTTGGGACTTCCATGTATCAGCCTCCACTTTCTTGCAGTTTGAGCTGAGCATGGGTTGCAGCAAGCCATACAGCAATGCCCATAGCATTCACCTGCAGTATTCTTTAAACAATGGGAGAGACTGGCACCTGGTGACAGAGGAGTGCGTCCCTCCAACTATTGGCTGTCAGCAGTACACCGAGAGCTCCATCTACACTTCAGAAAGATTCCAGAACTGGAAAAGAATTACTGTCTACCTCCCACCCGCAACCAAGTGAGCACTTCTATTCTGGCTGCTTAGCATGATATAAATTTTGCTGATCTAATTTGAGCAAACATGCCCCAGCTTGGGAATTTTCTGCATGTCTTTTAAATTATTAAATGTGTGTTATCACGCCATTGGAATTTTAAATTTCACTTCCAAATATTTCATCAGATATAACGTGAACTGCAGGAACTTAAGGAAGTAACATCTTTGGATGAGTGAATTCTTAAGTCTTGCCTACAATCTATGACAGCAAGAACAGGAAAAATTTTCTAACATTTACCCAATACAAAGCAAGAATTAATGCCCTGACCCAGCCTTTCATATAAAAGTATTTTCTTTCATTGCATATAAGTTGTCATCCAACATTTAGGCATATTAGTCATGGCATTCAGCAAGTCAAAACGCGTGTTACTGGATATGCCATCTCCATCCTTTCGACCAGGAGGAGAGTTCTGCCTGCATCCCAGTGATATCACACAGTTGTAAATGGATGTGGCAGATATGCTGGCATCCATCTCTCTGAATAAGACCATGCTCTAGTTTAGAAATAACAGATGATGATTATATTGCTTACCGTTATACTGGACAGTTCTGTAATTCATTAAAGCACCCTACACATTACCTCTGTAAATTTCACCACCCAGAAAATACCATGGTAAAAATGGACACACAGTAAATGAAGGGACTGGGGTTCACATCTTGGTTTCTAATTCCATAGTTGGCTCCAGAGGACCATACATCTTCTTCCAAAGAATCTTCTTCACAAATATAATGATATCCTGATCCTGTCAAAGTCTGAGGGCAATTCTCTGTGCGTTGTCCACAGCACATTTCCTGCCTGACCAAATGCAAGGTGATCTAACTTGTAGCATTTCGATAGATTTTTTTGTCCAAAATATTTTCCTCATCTGAAGATAGCAAGGCAGTCAGCAATCACAGCAGTGTGTATGCATGTGCATGTTTGTACATATATATTCATACATTGTTATATATATATATATGAACATATCTAATAATTGTTTTTTCTTTACACAACACTTAATATAAATGAACTTTCATTACTTCTTACTTTACTGAAGCAGTTGTATTGTTTTAACTCTGCTAGCAAAACATGGAGCTGTTGAATGCTAATGTAGCTAATAGCTTCTGCTCAACGACTTTGCTGACCAGCAAGAGTCGCAGCAATGTTCTTTCTTGGGTTTCACTTTGGGTACCTTCCTTTAGAGTCTTCTGGAATTTTGCCTAAAAACTAACCTGAGAAATTGAAAATTCCAGTTTCAACTCCAAATACAGGGAGCCATGCTTATTAATATGCTTTTCTTCTCCTGAAGTCTATGGGGTTTTCTTTATTATTTATCACTTTGTGGAGTAGACATTTTGAAGCCTGAAATACATTCACTGTTTTTTCTAGCTCTCCCAGAACACGGTTCAGATGGATTCAGTACAACTATGCTTCTGGTGTTGATTCTTGGGCTATTGATAACGTGGTCCTGGCTACAGGGTGCCCCTGGATGTGCTCAGGCCATGGCATCTGTGATGCAGGTCGTTGTGTGTAAGTAGCAACCTGCTTAACCTGCTTCATAGAAAGAATGTTTTGTTTTATCTAGGCCAGATGGATAACACCTTTTCCTCCCAATTTGTTTCTAGGTGTGATAGAGGCTTTGGTGGTCCATACTGTGTCCCTGTAATTCCTCTGCCATCTGTCCTGAAGGATGATTTCAATGGTAACTTGCATCCAGACCTTTGGCCTGAGGTCTACGGTGCTGAGAGGGGAAATCTGAATGGTGACACCATCAAGTCTGGAACAGCTCTCATTTTTAAAGGGGTCAGAGATTACTTACATTGAAAAAAATAGATCAAAACAGTAGATTTAACAACAGAAAGTAAATTTTTGGTTGTTCCCCTCATATGTCTTTATGCTAGAACATTTTTCTTGTCTTTCCCTGCCCTAAATATATGCCATGTTTGTCACTGTTGTTTTTTATGAACAAATGAGTTTCATCTGTTTGTTCGCTATTACTTTCATTTGTGGTATAAATTCCTCCTTAACCACCAAAGGAAAAGAATGAAATTCCGCAGCTGAGATTCTTGAGGCCAAGCGAGTGATTTGGAAATTATGGTATACATGACAGTCAATTGGGTTTGGGTCTTGAAATCCCTTGACTGGCTTTTGAGTTTTGAATAATACAAATTAGTCAGCACTGTGGTCAATGTAGTCAATGTTTATGTAGTTAGCCTGTGTTTTTCTTAATCCTATCGTTTTGAAATTTTCTAGCTCTTTAAGGATTTTTTTGTTAATTACAGGCTAAAAAGGGGAAGGAAATATTATATTTTCTGTACTTCTCAGATTTTCAACAAAACACATAATAGAAAGAGTTTTGTTCACATAAGCACACAAATTTTAAGCTTACACATGAGTCTTTATTTGACACTGTGAATTCAGGTGCCCCCAAAAAAGCAAAGTTTAATAATGTTTGGTGTAGAACTGAATTGTTTTAGAAATATTTCTTTGCAAAACCTTGACTCCAGTTTAACCTTTTTAGATCAGTTAAATCACAAATCACAGGATGTGAATTGTCTAAAGCTTGGATTGGTTGTTCCTGCAGGTTGTTCCCCTGGGGGAGTGGGTCTGAGAAAGAGGGAAGCTCTGAGAGGTGGTTTGCCAGATCTCTGCAGAACAGGGACCGGCTCTGGCCCCAGGATCCACACAACATTGAGCTCCTCTGTAGAGATGGACAGGACCTTAGGGGTCACTATGAGGTTTCCTGTTTTCTCCCTTTCCTTACTTCTCGAAGTCAAGAGGTTGCCCCAGAAGAGAATATTTAAAAAAATATTTTTTGAGGCACAGAAAAGAGCTTCTAGAAAGGAGTCTTCCTGCCTGGAAATTAGGGTGCTTGGTTACTATAAAATTTGCCCCAAAAAAGAATATACTAGCTTGGACTCAATGTCTGAGTAAGTCAGTGCTTCCAAATCAGATCACATCCCAGTGGTACAGAGCACAAACTGAATGAGCTGTTCCTGTGTCAGTACCTGATCATGTAGCTGTGCCCCTGGTGGTGACACACACCCATACCTGGCCCTTTCCATTACTGTGGCTCATTTTCCAAGGCTATCACTGTCCCCATTTTCTGCCTGGGAGAAGGTGTGAGACAGAGAACTACCCCTCTCACTGCCACCAACAGTCAGTAACAGACAACATCCAGACAACAGTAAGCTGCAGACCATCTTCGATAATGGGAACTAAAATTCACACTATAAATTCTGTATTTGCAGGAAGGATTGAGAATGCTTGTTTCAAGAGACCTAGATTGCACTAATACTGTGTACATCCAGTTTTCATTTAAATTTATTGCCAAAGGTAAGATCAATGTTGATTTCCTATCGCTTCTCTAGCTTTATTCATATGTAGTAATGTCACAGAAAATAATATGGATTTACATTTTCAGCTTTAGTGTACATGATCACCAGTTTATGGTAGATAAAATGGGAGCTTTTTGAGATTCTGCATCATCCTTACCTTGCTACCAGCCTACACAGCTGTCTGTGCAATAAAAGAGTAAACTGTGATGCTATCAAAACCAAAACAGCTAGTACAGTCTTTGAGCAGAAGAGAAACAAAATAGCTCAAGATATTTAGAGATTTTGCAGTATGTTGGGGAAAAATGAATTTATCAGGTTTTAAAGTCATAAAATGGTGCCTATATTAGATCACTTAAGGGACAGACAAGGAACTACAGTTTTTCATTTCCAAGTTTCAGTTCACTGCATTAAAAGCTCTTACCATTTGGCTTCCTAGTAGGTATCATAGAGATTACTGAAACTCCATAGTTCTATTTAGTTGTGCATGAAAAATAGTCAGACTTTACAAACCAAGTTTACAAGTTGGTGTAACAAGCTAGAGATAGGGGCTCTAGTACAAGCACATTCAAGCCAATGATTTGGTCTTACCCTGCTCCAAGACCCTGTCATCTCTGGCCTTGGAAAATAGTTTTATCCCAGTCAGGAGTGACATGGTGGAGAACTACTAATATGGTTGGGCATTTGAGTCACTTCCTTACAGTCTCAGAAGTTTCCCCAGCATTCCTTGTAGAACCAGCACTTCAAGGCTGAACTCTCAATATGCAAAAATCCATCTCCCTTTGGTGGAAGATGTTCATAGCTTCTGCAGGAAGCTCATTACTCTGGGACTGACTCACCATTTGCCAAAGACAGTGTGAAAATAGTTTTGAACTACCTCTTTCTTCCTAAATAAATACCTTAGCCAAATCTCTGTATGGGAAAGTAAAAATGTAGCTCTTTCTGAATTAAGTTTTATTCCTTTAATAGGCATTTAATCATATATATTTGGCTATTTATTATTATTGTTTAAGTACTTTATGTAAAAGAGAGAAAACAATAGCAGACAAAAACATAACATGCCCCAAAACAATAACATGCCCAATGCTTCATGTTCAAAAGCAAAATCTTTGTGAATAATTCTTTTACAAAACTATGCCTTGGAAATATTTCTATATATGATCCTTTTCAAAATATTAAAAAATATGATGAGTAAAAATATCATTCTGAAAGGCAGGAGTAGCCAAAGGCACAAGGCTGGATTTTGGTACTTGATTCACAAGAGGTAAAGCAGTGAAACTTTCCAGGAGAAATCTTTTCTCATTAAATCTGTATGGCTTGCTAGCCCTAGGCCTGAATCCATGACTTAGTCCCAACAAGGTCCCTAATGTTGAATGCAAATTAATACAGCTGAGCACATCTCAGCCATAAGTGTTAAGAGCAGTGTGTTGTTTTCTGTTAATTGCCACGGATAAACTGACATCAGCTCCCGACTGCAAATGTCTCCTCCCTGCCCTGGTCTGTTCCACGTGGTGGTTGAAGAGAGACTGTGTGCTGGAGTAGCGTGGAGCAGGAGCGTGCACATCAGGCACTTTGGTGTCAGCAATTTTGGTTAATTTCAGAACAGAACATAAGAGAAACTTTCACAGTAACGTAGTGAGGCAGGGATGAAGGAACTGTCCCTTAGCCCTTTTCTGCTGCTAGTTCCTGCCCTCAGACTGAGTTTTTGGGGATGTGCAATCACTGTGCCACCCTATGAAGGGAGTGAAGAGTGTAAATTTGTCTGAGTGAGAACTCAGCTCAGAGATACCTCACTCAGATGCTGATGTTCCTGGTCAGCAAGTCAGGCACAGGCTGAACATACACTGGGGGCTGAGACTGTGCAGGGTAACAAGCATCAAGTGCAAGTGCTGGGTTCTGATCACCATACGTTAATACACAGGGGTGTATAGAACCTCTATTGACTCTCTTAAGCAAACAAAGGAGGAACTGATAGTCAGAAAACGTAAATTTTACTCTCAGTTCCACCACTGTTTTTTCTTCCCAACTTAAAGCACAAAATATTGCTTTGTTGTTGTTGTTGTTAAAACATCCTAATAAAGATCCTCAGCACTTTACATCAATTATGTGATTTCTGGGCATGAATATGCTCATATCAGTGACTGCAGACTGCAGTCAGAGCCATGGACTAGAGATTTGTGAGGATAAGGACTCTGTCTTTATCTGTGGATGCTACAGGTTGTGATTACGGTGTCTGGTACCTGGGAACAACAAGCAAATAAATACTGAATTACTGAAAAATGTCTGTGGTAGAAGGAGCTGGTTTGTTCTAATCTAAATAATTATAACACTGAGACAGCTTCTCATCTAAGTAAATTAACTGTGACCATACATATCATGAACAGCAATGTAAATTTAGCCCGTAACTCATCAGCATTTTGCAGACTGACAAGCAAAGGAAAGCACAGGAAGATATATATTTATAATACACATATAACCTCTCAACAGCTTCAGTCAATGTTAAAGCAAGCCCATACTCTAATAGATGTCAAAGGAACCTAACTGTATTTACACTTGAAGAAGTGTTTTTGAGCTAGTGCTTTTTAAAACCAAATTATAATGAATGTAAATGCATGTCCCCTCTGTCCAGGCACCCCTGAGAGGTCTCATTCCATCCTGCTGCAATATTCTGTCAATGGTGGCATCACTTGGCACCTGATAGATGAGTTTTACTTCATGCAGACTACGGATGTCCTCTTCATTAATGTTCCTCTGCCATATGTGGCCCAAAGCAATGCGACACGGTTCAGGCTCTGGCAACCTTATAACAACGGTAAGGCGGAGACACCCGCGGGACTCCAGGTCCACACTTGCACGGCTCAGCATCTGTAAGAGGCTACATTTTTGAACTCAACAAGAATACAGACTTTTAAACCTTGTTTCCTTATGTTTCAAGTTCTTCAGTTAAAGTTATAACAGGATAATGTTTACAGTTCTTATAAAGCTGCTGTATGCTTTAAAGTGAAAGGACCTTAACCTAATACCCTTGACTGTGCGCAGAAGACTGTGAGCTTTGGTCCTGGAGGAACTTGGAAGCCAAGCAACACTGATAAAGTTAACTTTACTCAGGTTCTCCTCATTATTTTTAGTGGACCTGATTCTAGTTTACACTGAGGCCCCAAATGCTCCAATTATACAAAACCGTCCCAAGTGTAAATGGGAACTGAGCCTACCTTACTCAGAATTAACTAGGCATTAAAAACACTTTTAGAAAGAGTATGTAGTGAGCAGTTAATCTTTTGATTAAATTGTAAAGGACTATAGAAAACCACAAGAGGAACAGAGTTCATTCCTCCTGATTACAGGAGATGTGCCAGCTGAAGAAAGCTCTCCTCTGCTCTCAGTTACTCTGAGCACATCTCTTAGCAGGAGCTGACATTAAGGGCTCTAAAGAATTCCAGTGATCATTTAGACATGGTGACACAGCAACAATGTATTCCATGCAGGTAAATGCTTAGCGCACCTCTAACAAAAAAAAAAGCAAACTCAAGTCTAGTCCTATCCAGTTCCAGTTCATTCTTCTGATGGGTCCTGCCTGAAACATTTAACTAAATGTTTCCTGCAGACATAATCAATCCTTGAGTAGGAATTTAATTTAGAATAAGCCATTTAAGTTTCTCTGATCTACACAAAGGCTTTTAGATAGATGAAAAAAAGTTACACAAAAGATCTAGCAATCTAATCCTGCCTCACCAGTTTGAAAGCACAAATTTTCTGACACATTTGAATTCATAATCCATTAGGGAGGTCACTCAGAGTTTCCTTCTATCTCAAATAACTCTTACCAGGCAAACACAAGCTGCTGAGTGCAAGGAAAAAGGTGTAGAATGAGATCATCCTTTCAGGCTGCTTGGGCTCTACAGCAACTCCTCATTTAGATGATTCTTAATTAAAGAAGACATTGATGCTACAGTTTCAAACTAAATGCAGTTTAAACAGAAGATACTTGTTCAACACAGGGTTTTTACTCTTCAGTTTGCTGTGCCTTCTATAAATTTTAGAGGAATAAAAGTTGATTCTGTAGGGTCAGGCTGCAGAGCAGTATGGGGACTATTTTAATGGAAAATGAAAATTTTACATCTTCCATTTTAAAGGGAAATGAAAATAGTGAAGCCACACTTTTAGTACCTTTTTCTCCATGCAATCCATAAATACTGGCTACTGTTCTGCTCTCTAATAATAGTAGTAGTAGGTCTTAATAGGAATTAATAGGAATGTTCCCTTTTTCTCTGCAGGCAAAAAAGAAGAAATCTGGATTATTGATGACTTCATTATTGATGGAAATAACCTAAAGAATCCCATGATCCTTTTGGATACATTTGACTTTGGTCCCAAAGAGGACAACTGGTTTTTCTATCCTGGTGGAAACATTGGGCTTTATTGCCCATATTCATCTAAAGGAGCTCCGTAAGCATCTCTCAGCAATAAACTAGAAAGAAGTGACTGTGTAATAAACTGTGTGTAAACTACTCCTTTCCTTTTTTTACAGGGAAGAAGATTCAGCTATGGTATTTGTTTCAAATGAAGTTGGAGAACACTCCATTACAACAAGGGACCTGAGTGTAAACGAAAACACTATAATCCAATTTGAGGTACTTGTCTTTAGAAAGTTATTTTGCCTTTTGCTTAGAGAGTTCTGTTCTTTCAGGTTCTGTTCTTTGGCGTATTTCCCCAGCTGCTCTGATTGCCAGGTAGAGAAGCCTGTCTAATTTCCCCTGTAATTGCTTTGATATTACTTTCCCTCGTGGGTGTATCATGAAGCTTTTAATACATAGATAAGGGAAATTTCTGCCTCAAACTCTTCTACTTTCTTGCCTAAATTACTACTTTGTCCATGCCTACATACGTGCACCGATAGCATTTAAAGCCCATGCCTTATGAGTTGGAGAGTCATCACTGGCAGACAAGATGATGAGCAAAATATAATGAGGGTCCAGATGCCACTTCACAACCTGCTCAGAATAAGTGTGCAGCTGGAGCAGTGTACAGTACTTCCATGAGCTGACCCAGTGGAGAGCTACAACTTCATCTGTGACACTAGAAATTAATTCTTCCTACCTGCTGGCTTAACTGCTCTTGTTGTACTTTCTCAGACAGCCAAGGCTCTGCTTTCCTTTTGCTCCTGCCTGTACTTTCATAGAGGATCTAGTGGAAACTGTTCTTTGCCCATGATGGCCTGAATTCCTCTCATCTTAGAGTTATTTAAAGCTCATGAATAAGGAGCATATTTTTTGTGTTTCTCATAGTCAGTGGAAACAGGGACCCCAATGACAACACATAGTCTAAACTAAACTGTGTTTCTGGTTTATCCTAAAATCTAAACTATGCACTGGCTAGGGCAGCTACTAATGGGAGTAACCATTTAGCCTACTATGTATTAGATTAGAGGGGTCATTATATTGTCATTAAGAAATTATAAAAGAATCTTTCATGTAAATTGCTCTGCTACAATTACCAGGCTGCTTTTAACAAAGATGTAGCATGCTGTAGCATTAAACAGCAAATGATACCAGCTTATAAACAATTACTAAAATGATACAGAGGGTTTTCCAAGAAAACTAGGTTTAGCTGTGTACTCATGCACACTTCAGTTTGTCATGCAACTAATTCATAAATTATTGAATGCAAACCATTTTCTGTTTTAAAATATAGATTACAGTAGAACAAAAATGTTTGAGGTCACTTTAAGATATTTATAAGTCTTCAGAGCACTAACCTCATAAAATCTACATGCTTACTTCCATATGTGGTAAGAACATTGTTTTCAGCTCACGTTTTTGAGGACATTAGTATAAATGAAGAAGTTATGCATAATGCAGTAGAGTTTCTCTCTGTGTCTCGAGAGTCAAAAACTATATTGGGTCACGCATCTCTCCAAGCTTCCAGATGAGTAGACAACCCTTCTAGTCAAATGTAGGTTGATGGGACTCACGTGCACTGAAGAGTGATGAAGGAAATTTGATGTAGGATACATTTTCAACATTCACGTACAGTTCTGAATATTACTGGGTTATAGAAATAAACAGATTTTCATTACAGAGCAGTATGTTAGAAAGACATTTATTTTCCTCTACAAAGATATGTAAAAAACCCAACTTGTTTCATAGTTTTAGCACAGGCTTTGTATTTCATTGCAATGGGTTTTTATTTATCACATGGTAAGAATAGTATATTTCATTTTATATGACAGAGTCATCCTATTCTTCTTTCATAAAACTACAAACTAATTTTATAAAACTAAGAACTAATTCTTATTTTATAAAAATTTGAAGCTGAAGTAACATCTTAATATCAGTGCAAAAGAAAAGCAGGCTAATTTGCACTGGGGACATACAGAAAATGGGTCTTAAGAGGTCTCAGATTCTGTACAAAACACCATTTTATATTTTTTTTCAGTAGTAGAACTGTTGCTCATTTAGATATTCTGCCTTTTCTACTGTTCTCTACACCAGGAATCTTGTAAGAACACCCTGAGAAGTTTGACACTGTCAAACTATGTTTTGGTGTGACACTGAATCTAAACCCAATCCAGCTCTGATACTCTTTTAATGCTGACTCCTAGGGCTTTGCCACTATGCATGACCAGATGGGTAGTGAGTATCAAAGCCGAAGGATATATTGAAGTGATACAGCACGTACCCTGAAGGGTCCCATAGCATAAGCCTTTTTTTTGTGAAATTGTAACATAAAAGAAGACCATAGTGCAGCTCAGACATTTTTTTAAAAGTTTATGTTTTCACATTTTGTTTTAATATCTCTGGTTTTAAAAATGCACAATTTTTTGGTGCTAAGATTAATTTAGTACCTGTCAGTGGAATGCAGGAACTGATGCATTTGCTCCAGCAACTTTAGCAGTTCTCCTTTGGGATTTTGTCTGATTAGCCTTATGGTTTTCTCTTAGTAGAAGTAGTTGGGGACTTCATATTACGTTCATTATATGGTAAGCCAGATTGTGATATGCCCACAGACAGGTAGGGCAATGTGCAATAGTTCACATGCATGTCCTGAGTGCATCATCCCAGCTGTTAAATTACTTCCCAAATCACCATTTTCATGGGATAAATAAATACCGTATCAAATGGGGGAGGCTGACTAAGACGAAAAGTGACTAGGTGTCCCACTGCCTGCACTATGTCATCTTCTGCATTTCATATTTTGGCCCCCAGATCAATATTGGCTGCACCACTGATAGCTCCTCTGCTGACCCAGTAAAGTTGGAGTTCTCACGAGATCTGGGGGCAACCTGGCACTTGCTGCTCCCCTTGTGCTACAGCAGCAGCAGCCACCTCAGCTCCCTGTGCTCCACAGAGCATCACCCCAGTAGCACTTACTATGCAGGCACCACCCAGGGCTGGAGAAGGGAGGTCATTCACTTTGGAAAACTGCATCTCTGTGGGTAAGTGTCCAGCTGCTTGTTTGTTTGGTTTTATTTCTGTTTTCCATCCAAAATGTTCTCCCAGCACAAGAGCAGTCCATAAAACCTGTGGCACTAGAGCAGATCGGGTGATCTGTTTTTCCCTGCTTTTTGTCCTACATGTCAGTTAGTGTTCAGGTGATTCCCAAAAATATGTTGTGCCTAATGCTAATGTAGAATAACCACAGATAATTTCCTACTTACCCATATATCTTATCAGTGACATTTTTATGGAAGTGTGTTGCATAGTAAAATGAATGCAAAACTGGCTATCTTTAAAGCCCCTTCAACAATCTCTACTGCAGTGCTTTAGCCATTTGAATTCGTCAAGGATATTCTTGCATGAAATTTGAGTTTCATTAGAAAAGGCAGTAAAATGTGAGCTAGTATAAACTTGATTCTATCTCAGTGTAAGGAAGCGGACTGATCTAAATACTCAAGGTCTCTTGTAGCTGCAAAGTTCTCTGATTCTAAGAAATTAACTGCTGTAATCACTCAGAAATTTAAAGTTTGTGGAACAAACCATGTTGGGTGATAACAGATACAAAGCACAGAAAAACAATATGTGCTAGCAGGCATAACATGTACATTTTCAAAGTATAAAACAGTACTGTTTACTTTTTCAGGGAAAACTGTCTTCTAGCATCAACTCAGTTTATGTAAAAATCACATAATTAAGGATTAAACTATAGTCCATATGAATGAAAATGAGCTATGCAACTATGAGACTGAGTATTTATGAAACTACTGCATGCAGTGGGCCCTCCACTAAATAAGTGGCTCCATATGTCCCTCTAAAAGTATGAAAAGACTTTTATAAGAGAGGAGAACCAAGTTTGGAATGCCTGGATGTTTAATAATTTAAGAAAGTGTTTAAATTTTAAACTTGCATTTTCTGGTTCATGACAGTTAACATTTCAAGTGTGGAGTAGGTAACCATCTCCTGCAGCAGCTCATTTGTCCTTCTGGTTTTGCCCAAAATAATTATTTGATCCTTTACCCAACTACCAACATATTCCTCAAAATGAAAATTTTTTACTATGCAGACTCCTAATGCATTTAAAGTTTCCAGTTATTTTGATTTAATCCTCTGTTCCTGACAGTTTCTGTCCAATTTGCCTGCTTTCCTTTCTGTTCCTTCCTCAACACACCAGGCCAGAAGCCAATTGCTGATGGCCAGCCAAACTCAGCAGTGCGGATCCACTTCCATCGGAGTATTTGATGCCACAAAATTCTTGGGCCAGAGGGCCGAAGGGGGCTTTTTCCACCAGAATCCACTGGAATAACAAGAAAAAAACTCCAGACCTGACTCCTTGTGTAATTCTAAAAAAACCCTGCCTTTTCATCCCCAACATGTCAAGTGATTATATTTAAATTAAGATGAAGACAATTTTAGTTATTTCCACTATGTATGTTATTTTGAAACTTAATGTGTTCTCAGCAGATAGTTGTAACTATTAATTAATATTCCAGTTAAGCACTGAAGAAAAAGCCCAGGGCTTGTTGAGTTAGTGAAGAAATCCCTACTGATTTCAGCAAGACCAGTATTTCAGTTTCTGCTTCAGATATGAGTCACGCTTCACCCATGCCTGAGAGAAGAAGCTGACATGCCTCAGAGGTGGAACAAATCCCACCTGTGAGGCTCCTCTGAAGATGAGCTTCATAGAATCATAGAATTATAGAATGGTTTGGGCTGGAAGGGGCTTTGAAGATCATCTAGTTCCAACCCCCCTGCCATGGGCAGGGACACCTTCCACTAGACCAGGTTGCTCAAAGCTCCATCCAACCTGGCCTTGAACACCTCCAGGGACGGGGCATCCACAACTTCTCTGGGCAACTTGTTCCAGTGCCTCACCACCCTCATAGCGAAGAATTTCTTCCTAATATCTCATCTAAATCTACCCTCTTTCAGTTTAAAGCCATGACCCCTTGTCCCATCATTACATGCCCTTGTAAAAAGTCCCTCCCCATCTCTCCTGTAGCCCCCTTCAAGTACGGGAAGGCTGCTATAAGGTCTCCCTGGTGACTTGTCTTCTCTAGGCTGAACAACCCCAACTCTCTCAGCCTGTCCTTGTATGGAAGGTGCTCCAGCCCTCTGACCATCTTCGTGGCCTCTGAATTCGCTCCAACAGGTCCATGTCCTTATGTTGGGGTCCCCACATCTGAACACAGCACTCCAGGTGGGGTCTCACAAGAGCAGAGCAGAGCGGGGAAAATAACCTCCCTTTGCCTGCTGGTCACACTTCTTTTGATGCATCCCAGGACACAGTTGGCTTTCTGGGCTGCAAGTGCACATTGCTGGGTCGTGTTCAGTTTCTCATCAACCAGCCCCCCCAAGTCCTTCTCCTCAGGGCTGCTCTCAATCCATTCTCCACCCAGCCTGTATTTGTGCTTCGGACTGCCTCAACCCACGTGCAGGACCTTGCACTTGGCCTTGTTGAACTTCAGGAAGTTTGCATGGGCCCACCACTCAAGCCTGTCCAGGTCCCTCTGGATGGCATCCCTTCCCTCCAGCATGTCAACAGTACCACACAGCTTGGTGCTGTCGGCAAACTTGCTGAGGGTGCACTCAATCCCACTGTCCATGTCTCCGACAAAGATGTCAAACAACACTGGTCCCAATGCCAACCCCCATGGAATGCCACTTGTCACTGGTCTCCACTTGGACATTGAGCCATTGACCACAACAATTTTGAGTGCAACCATCCAGACAGTTCCTTATCCTTCAAGCAGTCCTTCCCTCAAATCCATGTCTCTCCAATTTAGAGACGAGGATGTTGTGTGGGACAGTGTCAAAGGTTTTGCACAAGTGCAGGTAGATTATGTCAGTTGTTCTTCCCTTATCCAGCAAATACTGTGACCCCATCGTAGAAGGCCAGCAAGTTTTTCAGGCACAATTTGCCCTTAGTGAAACCATGTTGGCTGTCACCAATCAACTCCTTATTTTCTATGTGCCTTACTATGAAGAAAGTTAATTCTGCCCGACACCACCCATCAAGTATCCCTTATCACCTGAATCCCCTCATAAAAATTCCTTTTTAGCAAATCAAAACAAAAACAAACTTGTCAGCTACCTGTGTTATTGATTCACCAACTGCATTTAGATATCTCTAACAAGACACATTAAACATGTAATGCAATTAAGCGCTTTTCCCTTCTCACTCTTCTGGTTTCCTTCCTCCTTTAAAATGTTTTCTCATTGGGGAATAAAATTAGTCTCTCAAGTGTTCTTCCCCTGCTTGGTTTGTTTTCCCTGCTTCCCCAGTCAGTTCCTCTTTACATGCAGCATTGATGTGAGTAGCACTTAGGAAGCAAATTAAAAATGACAGGACAGCACCCAAAGGAGAATATAGTTTAAATTAACAACTTGCAATATGAGTCTAGTTTAAGATTAATCCACCTGAAAGCAAGCTGAATACTTGGTGACATGGCAGATGTTTTCTTTCCATGTAACTGACAGTAATATCCTACCACCCCAGCTCCAGAGGTGGTCTCCCTGTGGGCAGGGTGGCAGCCTGAAACAGGATTTCACTCTCCAGGAGAGGGTGAAAGTGGCCTGCTCTGACCCAGAGTCTGCATGCCAAAGCAGAAGGAAATCCATCAGGCCATGGCCATTCATCCTCCCCACAAACAATGGAGAGAAAAGGGGTTGGAATTCAAATCCTATTTTCAAGTCAGTCATTCAGTTCTGGTATTACAACTAATGAATACTATTATTTTTATTTCTGTCATACCTGGATTGAATGTGAGCATAAAGAAGCATGCGGCACCGAAGGAATTAGATCTAGCAGTCTGTTCCTAGAATTAAGCTCTTTATCAAGCCAATTCCAACAGAAAGAATACTATAAATATATAAATTACGGTATATATATGAAATACAAAAAACAGGGAACTATTATTTAAAGTGTTTATTTATACCTTTTTCAGGTTGGCAAGGTTCAGATGGTACCAAGGATTTTACCCTGCTGGATCCCAGCCAGTGACGTGGGCCATTGACAACGTGTACATTGGCCCACAGTGCGAGGAGATGTGCAACGGCCACGGCAGCTGTATCAATGGCACAAAGTGCATCTGCGACCCTGGGTACTCTGGGCCAACCTGCAAAATAAGTACCAAGAACTCTGACTTCCTTAAGGATGATTTTGAAGGTACCTCCTCTCTTTTTTTGTTCTGAATTCTGCCTGTCCGTCTTAGTAGAACTCAGGGCTTGAGGAATGAAACAGCAAAGTCTTCCTCACCTCTACAGCTTCTGAATTTAATTTATGTTGTGGGACTATTCCCATGAACCAAGTAGTTTAGATGTCATTCTCAAGCACAGTTTGTGAATAGCTGATGGTTATCAGTTATCTGGTTTGGAGCATCAGACTCTTTGTGTAGTTGTTAATGATGGAATAAAAAATCTTCACCAAAACAGAATTTCCTGAAACTGCATGTAGAAAATATTTTAGAAGCAAATGATGGTTTGATCCTGAAACTGCATGTAGAAAATATTTTAGAAGCAAATGATGGTTTGATGGTAGTTTGACTTTAGCACAGACAGAACGTGTGCAAGAGAGGCGAACAACAGAGGACTTTAAGGTTGTGTTATTTCTCACTACAAGAGAAATCTAAGTGGCCTTAATATGGCAAACATAATTTCAGAGCAGACTGTGTGTCCCAATGGTGACGGCCACTGCTCAGCAGGCATGGCAGATCCCAAGCAAGCGATGCCAGGAGGGAACTCAAAGCCCCATGTGTGCCCGGGAACACACAGCATCCACGCACACAACCCTAAAACCACCTCAAGGTTTTCCCTGCTAGCAAACATGGCAAGAAGAGCATGTTTTGAATAAAGCAGCACCTGTTATCCAAACTCATTCCTTCACAGGTGCTGCTGTTCATTTCAAATTCTGCCAGCCCTTGCTTGCATGCCAGCACATGGCACTCAAAGTTTCTTTATAGACCTATTTCTATATAGGTACTTTGTTATTATCTTAAAAAAAATGAAGAAAAGAAGAAAATCTTGTGAATAGCTGGAGACTAAGATCCCAGATTTCATACTTCTAGGTTTATTTTGTTTCTTTTTATTTGTGTCAGTTTTCTAGAAAACATTGCATTGGAAACACCGAGTATTTCTTCATTCTGCATGTGATGTTTAATTTAGCTCTCTTCCTCTGGAAATAGTATTCTTGCAGTAGGAGCATTTCAGAGTAAATAATAAATATGTATTTACTGCGTATTCAGGTCAGCTGGAGTCAGATAGATTCCTGCTTGTGAGTGGTGGAAAGCCATCAAGGAAATGTGGTATCATGTCTGGAGGAAACAACCTTTTCTTTAATGAAGAAGGCTTACGTATGCTGATGACTCGAGACCTAGATTTGTCACAAGCCAGGTAACACAATTTCAAAGTTCTTTCAGGATTTCAGTGAAGAAATAATACATAGAAGAATAATACATGTGATACTTCTGTGCTAAAGGCAAGCTGATATATTCTGTGGTCCTTACCCTAGCAAATATTCAATTTTAACCACTGTTAGCATTTTAAATTGAATTTAACTTGAACTTTAATGGGATTAACCATTTAAATGTTACTTTTTTGCTTGAATAAGAACTCCAGAATCTGATGCCACACCTTCAGTAGTTTATGCAAGTTTTCATTTCTTAAATGCAAAACATGAGAAATCAATTGCACGTCACATGCTCTGCTTGTCTTACAGTTTGTTGTACTATGAACAATTGGTGAAATAGGAGTATCTGCTGCCAGTATAACTCTTACATTCATCATCTCATAAGTCTTTCATTTCTGAAGCTTGCTTTCTTCTCATTGTGCACATTTGTTTCCTATAATTCACTGAGAAATTCCCATCAAGCTGTCACCAGCTACACTGAGCACAGCAATTGAAAAACAAATATTCTTAGTGTATTTAGAGATTATGTTGTATCATTACAGCCTGCAGAGGAGATATTTGATGAGTGAGACATGCTAAGCAAGCTACATTAAAAAAAATTTAACTGATACAAATTAAACCACATCCTAATTGCATGCATGCTAACAAATAGGCATTGTTTTCTAATTTATTCAGTATCTTAGCTTATATCCTTATATTATTACTATGGAGAGATTGCATTTTCTCCAAGATGTTTCTGCACTGGTCTCTTGTAAACACCCTTCTCCTCTCTAATGTTCTGTGGGAAACACTTCAATAGGCACTTTATCTCTTTTTTACTTGTCTTCATTAGCACTGAATCTTTAAATAATAGTTTAATTGCAGAGCCTCATGGTCAATAAAGATGCCTAATTTCGAACCATTGTATTTTTTAGATAAGCAATTAGGTAACCCTCAGTAAGGTGTGATCTTAGAGGTCCTTGTACTGAATTTGTGAGATTACTCAGAGCACATTTTTTTCAGAACTTGGTAAAGACAAGCATCAATACTCCACTTATTTGATTTCCTAAACCGTTCTGAAATTGAAAGATTGTTTAACAAAATATACAGGAGATCTTGTAAGATCCATTACACTAAATTACGTTTTCCTTATTACTCATGTTCAAAGAACTGTCATTTATCTCTTCTCCATGCTACTCTGTAGCTGGATGTGCATACCTTGATCCTAAGGTGTTATATGGTAATAAATTACTTCCGTACTAGTAAAAGGAAAAAAAAGCAGTATGTTTAATTTCTTGTGTATGCTTATGAAAAATAACAGTTATCAATAAAAACCTGTATGTTCTCTTCTGAGCAAGGCAGACTGCAATGGTGTCACTGGAGGCTCCTGTTTAGCAACCTAAAATAATTGCAGTGGGATCGTCTTAACTTGCAGGCCGCCTGCAAAGCACAACAGATTCGGCTGTGACGCAGATCTGCCAAGTTCTGCACAGGACTTGGGGAGAGGTTTCAGTTTATGCCAGGGCTGATGAGAACCAGCATTTGTAATCCTTTAAAGGGTACTAGACTCAGTAGACATATGAAAACCTCCCCTTTTCTTCTGAGCCCCCCTGAAGTACACAGACGAGAAGTGCTGCAAGCCACGCTCAGCACCTGGAGGTTGAAAGTGGACCCTCCAATCCACTGTCCACTCCCATCACATCTACATTTTAAAGAATGTAACACAGGGGACAGTATATTGCCATCATGGTGATAGCAGGAGATGAAACTGCACAGCATGAAATATCAGTAGGGACAGCGTATTTGAGGTATCACGTCTGATCAAACCCTTTTCAATTCTGAATTACTAGAAGAATATCCACACATTTTAGTGTTACTAGATCTACAGGAAAACTTTGCTTTTCCATTTCAAAACAGGCAGAACCTTTGCAAAATATCTTTGGGATGAGAAAAGATAAATTTAAAATCACTAACTTTTTAATCTGCTAGACATTGTGTTACCTATATTTGAGTGGGATGTTACTAGAGTAGTAAAAATTCAGATAAAAGAATAGCACTCCGCAGAGAGCAGATTCAACAGAGACAAGGTCACCTGGGCTTATTTCCTTTGAATTATGTGGTGAATGTCAGAGTAAATCTGAGGAGGCACAAAGACTTGTCAGCAGTGAATCCAATCCATTACAGTTGATACGTTGATCCATGAGGGTCCCCAGCACTCCTTTACAGCACAAGCAATACGTTATGCCTGGGACATGGAGGTGGATATAATCTATAGTGAAAGGAGTTATACACAGTAGCAAGAAAAACTATGAGTCACAGCGAGGACTAGAATTAATTGACTTGCAGGTCTGGTGTTTTATTGAAGTTTTGTCTGCCCAGCACCTCTGCAGCCTCCACTCCCAGAGGATCTACCTGCAGATCAAACCAGAGCAAGACTTTTGATACAAAACTTCTTTTTGCTCTGTTTCATTTAACCATGAGCTGGGCAGCACTAATGCAATAATAATTAGAACAGATATAACACAGTAAAGCTGTGCAAAAGCTCTGCAAACATGAATTAATACTTGTAATATCCCTGTGAGTCTGATAGGTAAATATCATTACAGCAGCGGTTCCCTCCACTCCAAGTGCATAGTAGAGATATTTATGGGCATCGGCTAACGGGAAGAATTTCACATTTTGATACAAGTCTATTGTGCTGCTTTGGAGAAGCCAATTAAATAGGGGATGAAAGTGCTGATGTCCCTGGGTGGCGTGGGCTGGCTTCAGGGAAGCCGGAACATTTAAGTGATGTGGCTTAGACAAATTTCCCAGGCTGCCTAAATGGACAAAATGATCCCTGAAAGTGAAACATGCCTTGTTCTCCTGTCCAGATTTTCTGTAGTTTATGCCAATAGAAAACCAAGATGCTTATTTTGAATGTAAGCATTTCAGCAAATTCATAGCAAATTATGATCTACTTAGGGCACCGTTGCTTTTCTGCTGCTAAAATCTGTACTCATGGGCTACAGGGATAAAAATTTCACCCAGGATTATGTTTCTGATATTTGCAACACCATCTGCCATGCAGACAAAAGCTCAAAACATAAATGACCAGCTTTGTTCAGCCTCTTCTGCCTGGCAAAATAGCACATAGGCAAAATGAATTTTTGTCATCCCTCCTGTCTGTCTACTCGTATTCTGGAGGCTTTGAAAAGGAAATAATAAGATCTCCTAAAGCTGTCTCTTACAGCAAGAAATCAGGGGACTAGTCAATAGACAAACTCCAGGTCTCCCTAGGTGGTTATCTAGGATGTTGCAGAGAAGAAATCTTTCCAGTAATTGCTCCCCCTGTTAGATTTGTGCAGTTCTTCATGAGACTGGGATGTGGCAAGGGGGTGCCAGACCCCAGGAGCCAGCCTGTGCTGCTGCAGTATTCGCTCAATGGGGGCCTCACCTGGAGCCTTCTCCAGGAGTTCCTCTTCAGTAACTCCAGCAATGTGGGACGATACATCGCCCTGGAAATTCCCTTGAAGGCCCGTTCCAGCTCCACTCGGCTTCGCTGGTGGCAGCCATCCGAGAATGGGCATTTCTACAGTCCCTGGGTAATCGACCAGGTAAGGAATCCTCTGTGTTGGGCTTTTTTAATACAATTTTAGACTGTTTTCAGTCTTCATGTTTCCCTTTTGTTGGCATATGTAATTTCATTGGGTCAAGGAAAAATGCTTTGGATCAAGATATTCCAGAATTATAATAAAGCACAATTTCTGTTTGCTAATCTTGTGTTCCAAATGCACCTTTTCCATGCAGGGTACTGAATGCCCATTTTGGAGCTGGGGAAGTCATTTATTCCTGGGTAGAGCCACAGTTCACATTGCAGAAGGCCTTACCACGCAACATGCAAGTCTGAGTTCAAACTTCAAAAACTTTCTTTTAAAATCTACCCAAAAATGTAATTGGCTTGGTAGAATGTAATACGAAAAACTATTAAAACGTCAATTCATATCTATTTTCTAAATTTAAAGCTAAGTTTTTCATATTTGAGATTTGCTTCTATAAAGATTATTATATTGCCTTGTATGACTTGGTATAAATCTCTAGAAACCCAACTAAAGTGATTGTGCTCTCAGTAGTGTTATTAGTCTGTCTAAGTTCAATTTCCTTAAATATTTTTGAACTTTTTTTAAAGGAGTTAGTTCAGGTCCTTAGGAGAAACTCAGAAACTAAACTCCCAGCCACATTTATTTATGTGGTTACAAAATTTTACTTCCCATCCCTGCACTTAAAAATGAAAAAATCCTTATTCATTCATTCCTATATCTTCTTTGAATGTAGTTATATTAGTTCAGAACAATCAAAAACTGAATTCAGAATAAGAAATGAAGATTAATTCTACCTTGCTTGCTGTTGAACAGTAGAATGCTGACATCTTACAGTCAGTGGCAAAACAGAGACTGTTTCCCCAGTTCTATCAGCAGATGCAATCTGATAGTAGTGCACCAGATCATAGTAGAGCTGAACAGTCAGTAGGAAAAATTACAGTGTAATCACTTTTCTCCTACCAACATTGATTTTTGTGAGCAGTTTTACTTCATCCAGGATGGATTTCACCTCCCTGAACTTTAGATCTGTATAGCTGAGACAATCTATTTAGGTTGCCTTTACAGGAAAAAGATATTTCCCTTCCTCATAACCTAAACTCTTTACAAAGTAAATTTGTGTATTTTGGACCAGCAGAATATATATGCGTAATCACTAAATCTTTTCCTCCTCCAGGATGCTATGTCACGTGTACATTTGTGAAGACTTCTAAACATTTTTTCTTTTCAATAACAATTCCTTTCCCACCATTTCAGATTCTAATTGGAGGAAATATCTCTGGCAATACAGTGCTAGAAGATGATTTCACCACACTGGATAGCAGAAAGTGGCTGCTTCATCCTGGTGGAACAAAGATGCCAGTCTGTGGGTCAACTGGGGATGCTCTAGTATTCATCGAGAAAGCTAACACCCGCTATGTTGTCACCACTGACATTGTTGTCAATGAAGACTCTTTTTTGCAAATAGATTTTGCAGCATCCTGCTCTGTCACGGATTCCTGTTATGGTAATGACTTCTTAGTAAATCCTGACCTTTCTCTTCTTCTCCTGTACAGGAAAGTTCACTTGTTTTCTGGTTCCATTATCCATTGTAACGAGAACCAAGAAACAAAAGAAAGCTGCATGTTTCTGTTAGGAATAGTAGTATCAGCATTTTTATTGTAGGTGGCTGAAGCCTAAGATAAACGAAAGTATATTATTCCCTCCAGGCACTTAAGTTGCAGTTTGATTCATGTAAGAAAAAGACTAACATCTGTCCTACTCAAATCATTTACCACTATATGGTATCCACTGCTTGGGGTGACACTGTCATTCTAATAATAAGCCGCTGGGTGTTTCCAGCATGTTTCTTGCTTTGTGGTTTTGCATTCTCAGTGAAGTAAGTCTCAGTTCAGATCTCACTTGCACTTCTATAACCAAGAACTCATTTGTATCAGCATACATCTGACACAAGCTAGGTCAGCATTAACTGCAAAAATTTGTATTGTCCATATGAAATAATAAACATGTATATATGTGTGTATCAATGTGTGCATAGATCTATGCACATACATGTTTAGGTATATATATATACACACTTATAAATTATGCCATTTTTAATAACCTAGCTTCCTTTCTCTGAAAAGTCTGAAAAAGACTGCAGCATCCTAAAATCATCTCTGCTAAGTTTAAAAGTGTTTTTGGCAGCTTAGCTACATACTGGCAAAGGAACAGCTCATACTACACTTACCATTATATTAACTCAGTATTAAATTAGACAGGACACTACCTAATCATGCTTCCAGTCATGATGGGCAAAGCATTTCTTTTTAGTGATGGAGATTTAACACTGAAAATTCACTTACCCTTGTTTGTATCCACTTGTCCTTGTATTTCTATAGCACTGTATTCTGTGCTTAGACACCAAGTAGGAGTGATTGGGTGATTAAGGGTCATTCGCTGTGCATGAGGGTAGAAGAAATGGGTCTGTAGTAACCAAAAAAGATCACAGATTTACCACCCCTGTCACTGCAACCACGCTCTGTGTTTTACAGAGGCAGAATGCCTGACAGCTGGAACATTTGCTTCAAGTTACAGTTCTGTGCCTATGATTATTTACTTTTTAATAGCTGCATAAAAGTTTCACTTGCAGTATTTAGTGAGCTTGACTAGCCTTTATTCTTCATAATAAATGTTCATAAGCCGTAAACATCCAAACAGTGAAACTGCGGATTTTTGCTGAGAAATGAATACATTAGTTGAATGTAGTTAGACAGTGTTTGAATGAAAACAAGCTCACTGACTAACAAACTCAATTTAAAATTGTTTATGATGGATAATGAAATGAGCTGGTCTGGAGCAGGGTGGAAGTGTGACTAAACCATCTTGTGATGGAGCCAAAAGGTTGAATTTGAGTGATACTCTGCCTTACACAATGATTACATCCAGCTGAATCTCATCCTTCAGCCTGAAAAACAAAACAAAGTTTCTGGTCATGTTCCTGTCACATCACTTTCTTGCATGCTGCAGCTACAGAAATTGGCTTGACTTAATCCTGGCGACTTGACAGATGAGTTTGTCTTTGCACCTGTGGTCCCTTGAGCTAGGTGGTGGATGCAGAGGTGTACTGCAGCCTTCTCCTGAGCTATACTTGGTCAATAACATATAATGTATCCTCCAGCACTGCCACCAAAGGGGGTAGCTTTGTACTTCCGTCACAAGGGTTTGAAAAGTTTTGAGTGGCTATTTTCTCAGCATAGACTTGTGACTAACGCTCTCTGGGGTTACCAGTTTATTGTAGACCTATGGATGTAAGTCTCTAAATTAAGTAACCAACCAACCATCTTTCCACCCTTAGCTATTGAACTGGAATATTCAGTGGACCTTGGGCTGACCTGGCACCCAATTTTGAGAGACTGTCTTCCCACTAACGTGGAATGCAACAAGTACCATCTCCAGAGGATTCTCATTTCAGACACTTTCAACAAGTGGACTCGAGTTACTTTACCTCTGCCTCCCTATACTAGGTATCTCCCTCTGGTTTTCTGCAGAATAATCTATGTATTGAGGCATGATAGATTATAGCATTAAAATAATTGTACCTTGCCATTTTTGGTTGGTCCATGTATATAGCAACAAATAAGTATAAGTAAATCCTGCTTTGCATAAAAATTGCAAAGCTAATATGTGGGTTTACTTTTCTTAGTTATTTAAAGATAGGAAGTCCTTATCCATCTTGTCCTGGGGAGGGACAGGGAAAACTTTTTAAAGAATCTCATGTTATCATCAGCCTCACTAAATTCTGGTTGTTTTGGTGGCTGATTGTACTGGCTGGGTCCCCACTGCACCCTGTGCTTGGTGTTGTCGGCTACCAGTTCAAAAAATTTAGTACTTTTCAGGCTGCTTGTTTTTCTGTGCATTCCTTGTATCCTTTGTGTCTTTCTCAGCTTTGATGCTCTCGTCATTTTTGCACATGCCCCATTTTCATCTCCTCTTCCTTTTCCTACATTCTTTTGTCTTTGAGGGAACAAAAATTGTGGGATTTGTTGGGAGGTTGCAGTGAAAGGAGCTGCTTGGGACTAACAGTGCCATTGGGAGTGCTGCTGTATGGTTCCGTCCAGTGCACTGAAAACTGATGGATTTTTGTTTTGTCAAAAAAGATCCATCTAGGGACAACTGGGTAGTTCAGCCTTCCAGTTCGCGTGTTTCTTGATGTGCTGTTTTGCAATGATAGTTGTGACTTTCCCTGTGCAGTTATACCTGATAAAGCCAGCACAGAGCTATCCCAAAGTAAAGCCCTGCAAACACAGGTAGCATGGACGTCAGGCTCTTGGCACAACTTGACCCTACAGCTTTGCTCCTGTTGGTGACTGAGCCCAGTCTCTTCACGTAGGCACAGGCTGAGCTAACCACAGGCACAGGAGTACCACAGCACAGCCAGAGCCTGTGCCTGTTTGAGAAGGTTGTTATGAAAGATTCCAGCTAATGCACATACAAGTTTGGAAACAGAAACCTTTATTTTTTAGCATTGTACTGAGAACACCTATACAGTTGCCACACATTTTGAAACAAGTAGCGGAAAAGTCTATGTCCTATTACTAATCATTTTGGGCATCAAGACTCCTCCTTATCTTCACTGCAGTGCTTCATGTCAAGTAATAGTACATTTTTAGGACTTGTTCCCAGCATTGATCTCCTCTGCTTACTCTTTTGTACTGCTTCACTACATATTGTCTGCAAAATCCATTACTCCAGCAGTTCTTGTATAAAGTCTGTAAATTTGTGCTCAGGAGGGGCTTTCTAGGGCTGAATAGGATCAGTCGGGACTGGGGTTGATGTGCCAAACCAATTGAATTTGGACCTGAAAGGAACCTATCACCTGAGATAAACTGAGGTTTATAATTAACTCTGATTTTTAAGACTGAAAAGTTTTTTTGAGCTGTATATATCAAAAGAAGAAGTCTGATGCCCTGCTGAGGTTTGCCTTCTGATTGCTCTTCTGTCCAATCCAATAACTATATTTGTTGGCCCAAGTAACACCTTTCCGCAAAGATATTAAAATAGGGATTGCATGAGAGAGGTTATTACAACCTTAGTTTACAAGCAAGGAAGAAGTTAAGCTTCAAAATAAGTGCAGCTAATAGTCCCTTCAGTCTAGATGTGATGTAATTTTTATGCTGCTTTATTATTTCAAGCTGTGTAACAGCAGGTGTGTGTTTCCAATTGTTTGTGCATGTATGTTTTAGGGACGTGCAGGCTACACAATCAATAGCTTGGCCTGGTGCATAGCACCCATACTTACACAGCATTTTAGTGCTCCCTTACTCCAGAGTGCTATCTAACCTCTGGCCTGTAGAAGGCAATGAACACTTAGTCATATCTTAGAGCTGATTTTAAAATGCAAACGTAAATACAAAGCTTCTCCTAGGAGCATCAGCTTTATAAATGGTTAGTGAAGTGCCAAATCTAAAGCAGGCAGCGTGAGATATAGGTGCTTGTCTTTATTCCATAAGGACTTCCTCACAATTGATGTAATTCTTTTAAAAATGCTACTTGGTGAGCAGCTAGATAGCACAGCAGTAATTTCTTTTTGGATAAACCTGTTATCTGTTCACCACTTATAACATGCTTATACAGAAATAATTCATAGGCTACCACTGACCTTACCATAAAAGGTCTATTTTTATACTGAATAAATCTGGGGGATTTTCCTGTTTATTTGTTTTGGGGTTTACAATAACTGTGATTTCTCTTTGAAAATAGTTTCAAAAGAAAAGACTACACGAAGTTCAATGCTGCCATCTAGTGCTGTACAGCAAAATATGGACTAGCTTGCATTTAAAATGGTATTCTTGAAAAATTACAGAAATTCAGATACTTGCAACTATTCAAATATAGGTGTCTACTGCTGCATGAGCTGAATAGCTATTTGGTGTCCCCTGACTGTTTCGGACAGATTTTCATCATCTATGTTGGGAGCTGAAGCACTTAATTCACATAAAGCTGCATCAAAGCAAGAATGGGCAGCTAAAGCTGCTTTAATCAACGAAGTGAAAAGGATTTACTGAAAGGAGCCAGGATCACACCACAGATCATTTAACATATCCATACGAGCCCTGGATGGAGGGAAGGGAGGAAACTGAAAAACCAGGGTCACACTGCAAGCCCCACATAGGCACTCTCACCTGTCCCCTGTAGATTTATAAATGGCAGCAGCTCTCCTAGGAACCAGTCCACTCTAGAGCTGCACTGCATCAGTACAGTTGGGAGAATTCATAGAGAAAAAGGCAGGTTACTTTGTTGACTTGGACTGAAGCAACAAAACTCGGGCTCCGGGTGAAACTTGGAGGATTTGGACGATTCCGGCTTGATCCAAATCCTAGCTGTCCCTCAAGTTTGGATTTCTGCTGTGATGTTGTTATGACTGGTCTGAGTTTCTTTTTGGGCATACCACCTTCTTGCCACCCTCTTCTCCACTGCACCAACTGCAGCCCACTTGCTTTCCACTCACCAGTGATCCCTTTTCCCAGCTCCCAGACTCTCAGCATGCTACCAAACACCCATGCTTTGTCCTGCTCTCAAAATGTGGACACCCTGTTCTTGGCTTTTCAGTGACCTTGTTGTCAGGAATCAGTTCTGGGTTGTGCTGATATCAAACCAATCTTCCAGGAGCAGTCTAGCCTTAAGATTGACATTTCCTTTCAGTCAAAATAAAGACTAGCTTAGCCAGAAATATTACCTTTCTGTTTTGCTTTCTCTCCCAAAGGTCTCAAGCAACACGTTTCCGCTGGCACCAGCCTGCTCCTTTCGACAAGCAGCAAACATGGGCAATTGATAACGTCTACATCGGGGATGGCTGCATAGACATGTGCAGCGGCCATGGGAAGTGCACACAAGACAACTGTATGTAAGTGCAGCTCGTTCCCTGTCCTGCCCAGCACTGTAGCATTTCACTCCTCCTATGTCACTTCAACAAATTTGCAGGAAAGCCTTTGATACTATTTTCAAAAGGAAGGTGGATTTTGCTGTTAAAACTGAGCAGGGCACTGGGACCACTTGGGAATGGAAATAACAAGAGGAAGGGTAAGTGCAGGGGCTGGGTCTGCCAGACCTCTGCTCTTCGCACATTGTGGGTGATGCTGCTGATCCTTTCGTCTGTGACAATGCACTGCCTCTGCTGTTGCCTATGCTGCAGCTTGGCTCCCACCCCACCAGGTAGGGAGAAGGGACCCCTTGAGTTTGCACACCCCTCTAGGGACGTACAGTCCTGGAGCTTCACAGATGTCATCCTTCATTCCTGAGGGGTCTCACACCATGTCATAGAATCATAGAATCATAGAA